ACGAATGAATAGCTGGATGAATGAAGGAACATCTAGAAATTTCACCTTCCTGGCCTTACCTGTTTCAAGCATTCCCTGAACAGAATTTGGTGACAGAGGCCTGGCTGTGGTGTGATAGGTTCCATGACTGTCCTCTGCAGCTTTCAGAATCCTACAACTTCTGAGCCAAGAGAACTCCTTCAGAGACCAGATAGGGAAACTGAGCCCGAGGGAGGAGCAGGGACTTGTCCATTACCATGTAATGAGTCACTCAACGTCTTAGATGTGCTTCCTCCTCTTTGATTATTCTACTAAATGAGCTGTCTCTCCTGCCAACCACCCAGTGTAGGGTGTGGGCAGCCAGAGTAGCAGATGAGTTCAATGGGAAGTCTTGTGGAGTGGTAAGCATGCCAGAGGGGAAAGACACTTCCATTTTTTGAGGATCTGCTGTACTTACCAAACTTCACATCAACCCTTTTACTTGGGCTCAGGGCAATCCTGTGAGGGTGGTGGGGTGAGCTTCATTTTACTTCAAAGGAAGCCCAGGGTGAGGTGAAGCCTGAGTGAGCAGCTGAGGCCTTGGCATGTATGTGTTAGTCCCTAGGACCCCCAGGCAAGGACAGGACCCCCTCCCCTCTCTGCCCAAAGCCCAAATAGCATCCCCGCCGGTCGGGGAGACAGTCTCCAGCAGCAGTGAGGTGATGTCTGGTTTCTCCGTGTGCACTGTAAGCAGTGATTAATCTGGCTCCGAAACCAAAATATAGACCGAGTTCTATTATAAACATGGTCCTGTGGAGACCCGTCTGCTGGGCGGCCTGAGGCCCCGTGGTCCCCAGAGCTCCCTTGAGGCATCCACTCTCCCCCATACCAGTCAGGCACCCATCACATGTGGGGCAATCATTGCCTGTGGGTCCACCTTGCAGTCAGTGTCCGCCCTGTAATTGCTGGGGCCCTGGAGAAGATAATGGCTTAGAGTCTTCCAGGTCGTGAGGCCCTGTCATTTGCAGCTGTTTGCTGGCCCCAGCTTGGTAAACACGGTTAAGGTGGTTCCAGAGAGCATAAGAGCCACCCTCCCACCTTCACCTCTGCCTTGTCTGTGCTCAGACCCTGGTACTCCTGGCCAGCCAGGAGAAACTGGGAGGGCAACAGTCATAGTCCTTTAATGGCCATTGACTGGGAGAGATTTAGAAATTATGGTCTTTTGGACAGAGCACAGCCAAGCAGGTCTAACATCCTGGAGAATAGTTTGGGCTTGGCCATGACTTGCTAAGTAAGCTTGAGCAAGTCCTTTTCCCTCTCTGAACCTCAGTTTTTCAGTCTATCCAACAAGAAAGAAAGTTGTCAAACTGATGGCTTAGGTCTCTTCAAACTCAGATGCTCTAAGTTCCATAATCAGCCTCTGCCCCAGTATTGCTGCAATGACCCATGAGCTTCCTTTCCGGGGAGGAGGTGGCCCATAAGGGGATCTTTCCTTAGTGTCCTTGCAGCTCTTCTAGGTGACCTTAGGCTGGTCTGTGAAAAGGTCTTGGCCCATGATTTGGTGGGTTAAGACACATCTGGCTTGACGTGGCTCCTGGGAAGCTGTGGGGCCTCAGAAAAGTCTCTTTACTTCTCTGAACCTTGTCTTCTTCATCAAATTGCATGGTAACTCCTGTCCCCTCAGGGTGACTGCAAGGAGTGGATGAGCTGATGTGGGTAAGTCCTTAGTGCTGGGCCAGGTCTAAGGCCAGCTAATACATGTCCCTGATTATTGTTTGTTTCCTTTTAGCTGTATCCTGAGTAAAGGGCTAACCTGAAATCTCCTCCTGGAGTTTCACTCACAACATTTCTCTGCTTCCTCTTTGGAGCTCAAAAACGGAGTTTCAACAGGTTTCTTTGTGACTGCAGAGGAAGCCACGGGCACTGTGGTGCTCGTGTCCCTGTGCCTTCTGTGGTGCTTCTCTTGGGTCCCTTGCCACCATTATTCCAGTTTGCAGCAGCTCCATGAGGCAGGCAGAGGATGGCAGAGTGAGGCTCAGAATGAGGGTCAGAGAGGGCAATGGCCTGTGCCAGGTCACACAGCCCAGAGCTCAAGGCTAAATTCAGCTCTTCACTGAGAAATGGTGTTGCTACAAAATAGAAAAATGATGAAAATGGTGATTGTATATATCATAAGGAGCCCTGGTGGCACAACAGTTAAGTACTCAGCTGTTCACGAAACCCACCCAGAGACTCTGCAGGAGAAGGCCTCGGTGACCTGCTCCTGCAAAGATTACAGCTGAGAAAACCCTATGGGGCAGTTCTGCTTCGTCACATGGGGTTGCTGTGAGTTGAAATCGACTCAAAAGCACCTAACAGCATATATGTCGTGCCACAGCATACCCCTGATCTAGACCTTTCTGTGGCTGCCTATCATACTTAACAGAAAGAAAACCACAACTCACAGTCTGTACCAAGGCCTCTCTGGTCCAGCGTGCTCTGGCCTCCTGCTTTCTCTCCAGCCAAGCCCTCCTGCTGTGCCTCTCTCACCCTGCTCTCTCATTCTGTACCTGGTACATAGGCCTTCTTGCCATTCCCTGAATTCACCCCAAGGTGGGTTGTTCAGGGATTCTGTACTTGCTGTTCTCTGTGCCTGGAATACCCTTCCCCAGATAGCAGCCCCGTGTTGGGCTCCCTCACTTCCCTCGTCTCCTTTGAGTGGCCTTCCTGTACCACAGCATGGCCATTCCCATCCCCTGACTCTGCGGACTCTTCTTCATATCACTGGTCACCACCAGGCATTATGTCTCATATCTGCTTGTTCTTAATGTCTCCTTAATTAGATCATAAACTCTATTAAGGTGAAGGATGTTATCTGTCTCCTTCACCCCATGCCTAGAACAGTGCTGGCACGTGAAAGTGTGGTAAATGTTGACTAAACAAATGGACGAGAAATGGAGATCATGTGATAGCTGCAGCTAGTCTCTACCATGTCCCCGATGCCAGACCCTGGGCCAAGGGCTTTACACGTGTTATATCATGTCATCCATATGCCAACCTTACATTCTCATTTTACAAATGAGGAAACTGAGATTCGGAGAGGTGGAGCTGGTGGCTCTTGGTCACCCAGCCAGCCACTGGGGAAGCAGGATTGGCATCCAAATCGGTCCAAACTAAGAGATATAAGCACCCTGCATGACCATCCCTGGCTGTGGCCTGTGTCCCAGTTTACCCATTGAGGGAAGGAGCACACAGCCCAGGTGGGAGAATATCAGCCAGCCATATTGTGTCAGTGTCCACAGGCCTTTGGATCTGAGATGCGATCCCATCGCTGAGCAGTCTTGAGGCATGAGTAGGTACAGAAGGAATGCTTGTAAACTCCCCAAACCAAACGGACTCTGCTGTTTATAATTAAGAGTCCCTGTTTCCTGGGGGCGTGTAGGGATTGCTGAGTGTGTGTGCTTGTGTGTGTTTGTGTACGTGACGCGACTGCACATGCCTGACAATGTGGCCTCGGGTGTCAGAGAGACCTGGTGGTGAAAGGCTAGTCTGCTGCTCCTGAGCTCTCCAGAACTCTGTTTGCTCCTCTGTAAAATAAGGGTGACAGCACCCCTCTCCACCTCATCTGGCTGTTGTCAGGGTTAGATGGGGCCTTGTAGGTGTAGTCCTGGGTACAAGGTCAGTACTCTGCAAAGGATGATGCACAGAGGATTCTATAGGGGTCTAGAGTCTTGTAGTACTATCCTGTGGGGAGATCTTAGAACTGTAGGGTCTGAAACTTCAGAGCTGAAAAAACCAAACCCACTGCCATCAAGTTGATTCTGACTCATAGTGACCCTGTAGGATGGTAGAAGTGTCCCATAGGTCTCCAGGGTTGTAAATCTTTATGGAAGCAGACTGCCTCATCTTTTTCCTGTGGAGTGCCTGGTGGGTTCAAACCACCGACCTTTTGATTAGCAGCCCAGTGCTTTTACCACAGTGCTACCAGAGCTCCTCAGAGCTGAAAGGTACTCAAGAATTCTAACTCCTTCATTGGAAGTCCAGAAAGTCAGTAACCCACTCATAGTTAATAGTAGTTAGGGACAGTACCTCGGAAGGAAGGTTGGGCAATCTACCCAAGTCATACCACCTTGGAAACCCAAGAAGGGGTCACTATGAGTTGGGTCCTACTTGACGGCACATAACAACAACAACAACAACAGGGACAGTGCCTAAACCAAGCCCAGGACTCCCTATAATGGGAGTATCTCAAGGGGTCAGCATGAAGTAGAAGTCCCTTCCTCGGTCTTCTTTCTACAGTAGTCCTGAGCTGATTGAAGCTTGAAGGCTGGGATTTTCACCTGGAGACATCCTAACTCTAACGAAATGGCTCAGGTCTCAGCACTGCTTGAAAGTCACTGTTTTGATCTCATGCCCTGGGACCGTAGTAGTTGGGCCAAGGGCACACAGGGTGACTGCTGGTGCTGGAGCATTGCCGAGGCTTCTCAATTCAGGCATTTGGGTGACCTCTTCCTCCCTGGAATAGGAGCTGGGACCCACGGGAGAACGAGAGGCAGCTATTTTGCTTAACATATTTGGTCATTGTATGAGATCTTTTTCTGAGCTGGGGCTTGTGAGAAGAGGCCAGTCCTGACAGTGGAGGCAACTGAGCATCACACAGAGGCTAAACAAGCCCCAGGCCTGAGGTCCTATTCTGTCCATCCATCCATTCGCAATCCTACCTAACAGTCTCATCCTCTCTTGGGATTTGGGAAGAACAGCTGGGAGACAGCATACTTTGTCCCAGTTGCTCTATCCTAGTTCAGCTCCCAAACCCCCCACCAAAGGAGTGGCATCCCCCACTCCCTGACCCCTGGTCCAGGTCTTCCAGCCTAAGAACCAATAGTAGCAAAGATGAGAGTTTAGGAATCTGCTAATCCGAACTCATTACCTACATCCATTCCTCAAGCAGGTACTGGGTGTGGGCTGTGTCCCTGACATTAGGCAGCCAGGTGGGCTGGGCCTCTGCCTTCTGCAGCCCCATACGTGTCTCCTCTGCCTGATGTGGCTTTCCTTTCCCACAGGGCCTCAAGGGTTATCCTGGACCGGCAGGGCACCCCGGAGAACAGGTGAGGACCTCGGCCTCAGCCCCACCCTGCTTGCCGTCCCTCACTCCAGCCCCTGCTCAGCACTGGCCTCCTCCCTGGGCCCTGCTCCCATGACTGAGCCCCAGGCCAGGCTGTCCTGCCTCCCATCCCGCTGGGGCCCCCACCACACCCACCTCTCCTGCAACCACATCTGCCTGAAAGAGCCGGAGTCGGCGCCTGCCCGGTATTGGCAAGAGTTGCTCAGCTCCGCTTAGAGCTATGAATAGCTGGCCTGTTCCGGGCGATGTTAGGCGATATTATACACGCCGCCACGGGGTTTGTAGGAATTTTGGCTGCCCTGGCCCAAGTCAAACAGCAGCCGCTGCCAGCGTGGGAGAGCCGTCCAGGTCCTCACTGCCTTCTTATTCCTGGGCTGCAAGCAGAGGGGTTTTGTCCCTCAGAGCTGGTCTGACCAGTTTCCTAGTGAGGTGGGCTTGGGAGCCCAGCAGGCGGGTGGCTTCCCCTTCCTCCCGTTTCATCTCACATTCCTGCCCCTCTCTTTGTCCATTGTAAGCCCCAGTCTCCTACTGCACTGCCCCCCTTGCCAGACGCACAGGCACAGTGGGGTCTCTCCTTTCCTCATGCTTCTCTCTGTTCCTTTACAGGGGCAGCCAGGACCTGAGGGCAGCCCAGGGGCCAAAGGTTACCCTGGCAGGCAGGTGCAGTATATGGCTTCTAGAAGCTCTGGTGGCCGTGTGGTGTGGAGATGGCCACGGGTCCCTGAGGCAGAGGGAGGTTCTGGGGCTGGGGGTTAAGGTGCTGTACCCACTGAGGAAATGGCTGTCCAGGGGCTGAACCAGGGAAGCCTGTCTTGGGAGGCAGCAGAGAGGATGCTCAGTAAGAGATGAAAGAGGAGTTTTGCTCTGGGGAGTCAAGCCTTAAAGGTTCCTCCCACTCAGGTTCCCTGTGAGTCACGTCCCTGGGACCTGGGGACTGTGGGGCCTTGGTTTGAAGAACCTTAGTTTAGCTCCCATCCCCATTTTACAGAGGGGCAACTGAGGCCCGAAGGATACTGGCTTCATCTGAGTTGTTGACAACATCTCCATATGTCCCTGCCCCTCTGTCTTTTGTGTTTCAGGGGTTACCTGGACCAGTAGGAGGCCCAGGCCCCAAAGGCAGCCGGGTAAGTGGTCCTTGGTAAATGCTACCTACATATGTGGGGCCCTGGGTGGGCATCACTTGTCCCTTCATCCAGGCTTGCTGGGAGGTCAAGGCTATCAGCCTCCACCCATGACCTCTCTAGGGGCCTGGCCCTGAGGTCATCCCACCAGAGTGCTCCCTGCAGAGCAGAGGGATGATCAGGTGATGGGGGACCCTTGAGCCAGGCAAACCTTGGTCCCGGTGGCTAGGAAGCCTGGGCAGCAAAGTCTCTGCTGGAGGCTCAGCCATGGCCAGCTGCAGACAGCCAGGCATTTGCTTGTCATGACCCTGGCACATCCCGAATGACTCAGGAGCCAACACCAGGGCCTCTTCAGCAGTCTATAACCGGAGTTCTCAGGGGCCCCCTCCTGCTCCCAGCTGAGGACTGAGGGAGGGCACCTTTGTGGAGGGCAGTGGTAGTGAGAGGTGGATGCTGGCCAGGCCTGGAGGTTGATGTGCCTTTAGCTTCCCCTGTTATTCAGGACCCTCATGGAGCAAACCTTGAGTAGCCAGCAGCCTTGGTTTGCACACCTTTACAGTGGGATGATGTCCCTTTCCACCCATAGCTTGATATGGGGATGCTAGCAATTTGGAAGCAAGTACCACTGAGGAGGGGGCTCCCAGGGGGGCTGTGGGGAGGTGAAGAAGTTTCCGGGTGAACCGTGTGAGGATTAATGAAGGCAGAAGCCTGGGAGATGGTCTGGTGGATACTTCTACGTACAAGGAGACTGGGTCCCTGGCAGGGACCTGACAGCCCCAGTTCACACTACACATGCAATGTGGAGCTGGGATGGGGACCTAGATGTCCCACTGGGTCTACTGCCTCTCTTAGGGATATTCAGCAAGCGGGTCATCCGGTCCTCACAGGAGCAGGTGATACATGATGCGTCCTCCACTCAGGAGCCAGGGCTCTTTAGACCCTGGCAGGAGGGAGAGGTCAGAATGGCTGCAGACTGGGCCCTCATCCTTGGACCAGATGGTGGCCTTTAAGTCAGTGTTCAGGGGGGCGGGTGAGTGGGTGGGAGAGCAACATCCCAGGATGTTAGTAGGACATGCAGGGCTGAAGAGGCTCCTAGGAGGCTGGGCCCCTTCCTTGATCCAGCTGCTTCCTCAGGCTGTGGCCCCAGTGGGGCCTCTGAGCCCAGGCAGAAAGTCTTCCAGTCTGCTTGGAGGAGGGGGGAGGAAGCTATGCTGATGACATCTGGAGCTGCGTGGTACTGGCCATGCCAACCGTCCTGGCAGCATCTTGAAGCTGCGTGTAGGGTGCAGGCTGGCTCTGGCCCCACCACTCCCATCTCCTGCAGGGCATAGGGTCCCTGGACAGCCGGGTGAGCTGGGGCCTGGCTCATGCTGCCCTCCCAACCTTGCCGTTGCTGGTCTCTAGTTATCAAGTAGGCAGGGCACAGCCTTTGGAATCAGGATGACTGGTTTGAGACCTGCTCTGCTGTTAACTAGCTGTGAGGCTTTGGGTTGGTTGCCTAGTTTCTCACCTGTCAGTCTGGGATATGAGCCCTACTTTGAAGGGTCAGTAAATGGTCATTTATTAAGTCTGTGAATATTGATCAGACTGGACATTGAGGCTGAGGCTTAGTGACCTCTTGGCCTTCTAGAGAGGAGAATTCTTCGTGAGTTTCCTTTGCTTTTTGTCGGTGGGAAGCAGTGTAGCTGAATGGTTAGGAGCCCAGGCCCAGGAGTCAAATGAGTTGAATTCAACTACCAGTTTGGCTACATTCCAGCTGTGTGACCATGAGCAAGTCCCTTCACCTCTCTGGGCCTAAATGTTCTCATCTGTATTTCCTAAGGGTGAGGTGGGTATACAATAAGTGCTTTAACACACACAAAGCATTGAGAATTAGGCCTGGCACCAAATAAAAACTAGCTTTTGTTATAGTATTTTAAAGTTATGCCTCAAACAGCTAGAGAGTGCCAGTAGCGGTGGAAGCCGGGATTGGGTCCCAGCTCTTGAGACGTCCCCAGGCTAATGAGGACGCGATACATGGACACAGTTTATGAAGATACAAGAGAGAAAGGGGTAGATGCTACTCAGCCCGTTATGGTCCAGTTGACTTCAGCTCATGGGGACCCCACATGCTTAGAGTCTAATTTACTTTGCAGTCTTGTCAGTGGCTGGTTTTTCAGAAATAGATTTCCAAGGCCCCTCTGGGTGGACTAGAACTTCCAACCGTTTGATTAGCAGCTGAATTTGCCAATTGTTCACACCCCAGGGACTCTTAGATGCTACTAACTGAGATGCAAACATGGTGGGCGTAGAGGGTGATAACTCTTGGGTGGGGCATCAGGGATGCCTGGCAGAGGGGAGAGCGTTAGAGCTTGGAAGAATTGAGCTATGCAGTCTTGAGGGACGGGAAGGGTGTGCCAGGTGGAAGGTACAGAGGGGAAAGAGGCTAGCAGCAGGAAACCAGAGGACAGCTGCTGTCACAGTAGGGTCATGATAAAGAGCTTGGGCTTTGAAGTCAGCTGGACCTAGGTTGGACTCCCAACCCCAGCACTGGCTAGTTATATTGCTCTGTCCTCATCTGTGCAGTGAGGGGGATGACAGCCAGTCTGCAGGGTCCTTGTGGGGGTTTCGGGCCATCACACACACATAGCTCTGGCACCATACCTGGCATGACATCAGTGCGCCCAGCTTGTTCTTGCTGTTGTGCTCAGGTGACGGGGTTGGTTATCAGCCCTGTCCATGTCCAGGACCTTTGAGGTCCAGGAGGAGCCATTATAGAAGCCACAGCCTGCTGTGAGCTTCCGTTGGGGTGGCTAGGACCTGGAGTAGTTCTAGAATTTAACCCAGTGAGAGCTTCCTTCCTACAGGTCCCAGCGCCACCAGCACGGGGCGGGTCTCCCCTGCACAGGCGCCCGCGCCCTTCCCTGGCGTGAGGGTATGTGCCTTTGGACTACATCGTGGAAGCCAGCACCATGCAGTCCATGGGCATATACACTTGCCTCAAGGCCTATGTCATCGAGGAGCTGCCGGAGCCGCCACCGCTGCAACCGAGGAAGAGGAGCCAGGATGTGGGAGGGCAGGGAAGGGTGGGCTAGGATGGGTCAGGCTGGCCACCCACCGCCATTCGTCCCCTCTGACCCCCCATTTGCTCTTTCCTAGGGCTACATCGGACTCCCAGGGCTCTTTGGCCTGCCAGGGTCCGATGGAGAACGAGTGAGTATACTTCTTTGGTTAGTCCACTAATCCATGCCCCCACCTGCCCCGCCTCCCTCCGCTTGAGTCCTGTGCTGACCTTCCCATTGTCTCCCCCACAGGGTCCGCCTGGCGTTCCTGGGAAGAGGGGCAAGATGGGTAGGCCGGTAAAGATTTTCCGTGTCTATTACGCAGACTCTACGGGTGAACCAACCGCACGCTGGCCTCGCTCCTCGTCCACTCGTGGCCTGGGCATTTTCTGTGTCTCTGCTTGGCCATTGCTCTGCTTTGAGTGTGGGGCCGCCTGGGCCAGGTTGTGTCGGTGGCTGCTGCCTGGCTAGGGGTTGGGGACTCCCGGGGCTCTGGCTCTCTGAGTTGCCCTCCCTCTTTCTGTGCAGCAACTACTCTACAGTGCAGCTCTGTGTCTGGGGGCTTCTGTCTGGGGTGTCTGTGTCCATGGCCATACTTGCACTGGAGAAGCTTGGTGCTCCTGTCTCTGAGACAGGCTCCATCTAGACTTGGTTGCCCAGCTCATCCACACACAGACCAAAGGACGGGGGTGTGTGAGCAGGGCACGACCCCAACAGAGGTTCAGAGGTAACCCCAATCCAGTTTTGTACCTAGCTCTTGACTGTGGTAGAAATTTCTCCCTTGTCTGGGCATTCACGGGACATGAAGTGAAAAACTCACACAAGGTTTCACAGTGAGTAAACCATGGAGCCAGGATTCAAACTTAACTTGGTTTGACTCCAGATCTCAGATCTTAACGGCTACTTGAGACCACTTCTGTAGGTCTCTAGTTGGCAGTAATGTTGTAAAAGCAGATTCCATAGACTTCTAGCCTGGGAGTAAAGTCATTCATCCAATGATCTCTTTATTCAGAAGGAGAAACTAGGGCTCTGGAAGGCAGATCAATGTGTCTCGGGTCCCACTGCCAACCTGAGGCAGACCCAGGACGGTAAGGGAGGCCTCCTTTCTTCCAGGCCTGGCCCTTGTTGGTGGCTTGTTGAGGCTCTGTGCTGCCACTGCCCTGTGGGTTAGTTATTAGCTATTGTTTCTGTAGAACAAATTGCCACAAAATTTAGTGACTTAAAACAACAAACATCTATTATCTCACATAGTTTCCGAGGTCAGAGATTGGAGATTGACTTAGCTGTTTGGGTCTGGCTCCAGGGCTCTTGTGAAGCTACAGTCAAGATGTTGGCTGAGGCCGCAGTCATCTGAAGGTTTGACTGGGGCTGGAAGGCCTGTTCCCAGGTCCACTCACATGGTTATTGGCAGGAGGCCTCAGTTCCTCACCATGTGGGCCTCTCCCTGGAGCTACTTTAATGCCCTCAAGCAGGACATGGTTGTTGGCCTCCCCCAGCACAAATCATCTGAGAGTGAGAAAGAGAAAGCGAGAGAGAGAGAATGGCGGAAGCTGCAATTTCTTTTAAGTCCTAGCCTTGGAAGTCACGTACCATTACTTTTGCTGAATTCTACTGGTCACACAGCCCAACCCTGGTGCAGCATGGGAGGGAACGCCACAAAGGCATAGATGCCAGGAGGTGGGGATCACGGGGGGCCATCTTGGAGGCTGCGTGCACAAATAGTAAGCTCCTCATGAGACTGCGGTAAGGATTCGGTGGGATAATATGTGGAGAGCCTGGTATGTCATAAAGCCCAGTAAACGGGAGCTGTTAGAATAAACCTGTTCCTCTCTGTGAAGACTTTGGGACAGAAGAAGAGACAATGTTTTGTTGGATGTTGTGATTCTCACTTTGAGGAGAATCCAGACCAAAACACATGGTTCTAGAAGAGCCCTAACCTTGTATCAGGAGATCCGAGTTCTAGCACTACCCCCACTGTTAATTCCCTAGGTGAGCTCAGGGAAGAGCAGTCTGTCTCTGGGCCTCCGTTTCCCAATCCCTACGAGGAAGGGTGGGGCTTCCTGTCTCTGAGAAGTGATGGGAGTCGGCTGTTTTCTGAAGGGCCTTCCCTCCCCGGCCTGTCTTCTCCCAACGCTGCTGCTCCCTGGGCTAAGAGTTGGCTTAGGGAAGACTTTGGAAAGCAGTGGCCCCTGCCAGTCTTGGGCCACAGCTCTGCTGCCTGGAACCTCACTCTGTTCAGACCACACAGTGCTTTTCGCCTCTGGCTGTGGTGAGTTCCTCCTGCATGGAAGCAAGACCCACAAAATCCTGGGCATGCCTTGGCTTCTCCAGCCTGATGCAGGAAGGAGTGTCACTGCTACGGGGCCTGTGACTCTGCATCCTCCTCATCTCCCTGTCTTCCATCTCCTCTCTGCCATGTAGTATTTTCTCCTTAGAGGTAAAAGCCTTGGCTGCTCATTGCTGGGAAGGCAGCATCCAGTCTGGGTACTTGGCACCGTTTTCCCACTCGGTTCATTCATTCATTTTCATTCAACTTAAATATATTGAGCATCCACTATATGCCAAGTGCTGGGGATAGCTGTAGACAAAATCGTCAAAAGGCTGCTGTGGAGCATAAATTTTAGAGATGGGGACAGTCAATGAACAAGAGAGCGAGATAAGTGTGGTCAGGACCCCCTCTAAGGTCCCTTTAAGAGAAAGGAGCAACATTGGCCGAGGCTCCCACACATGCATTGAACCACACGTGACTCTGGATAATCATTGGAGGAGAGGCTGCTTAACCCCATTTCCAGACCAGGAACCCGAGCCTTAGCCAAAGCCACTTGTCCAGAGACCCTCTGAGGCCTTGCCAGGACTTGAACCCCATCGCTGACATCTCTTCTTTGCTTTTTTGCTTTGTGCTTTTAACTTCCTAAGGTTCAGCCCTGTCCTCCATGAAGTGGTGTTCCCTGGTGTGGGTGTCAGGTGTGGATGGAAGAAAACCTCCTTCAGCCACACTGCCCCATGGCCACGCATACCCCTGAGGGCTGTGAAAATACCCTTGACTCTGGTCCAGTTGCCGTAGCCAGCTAATTGGCAGTGTTGATATAGCCACTGCCATCAAGTTGACTTTGACTCATAGCAACCTTTTAGGACAGAGTAGAGTTGCCCACAGGGTTGCAAAGCTGTAAATCTTTATGGAAGCAGACTGCTGCATCTTTCTCCCACAGAGCGGCTGATGGGTTTGAACCACTGACTTCGGTTAGCAGCTTTAACCACTATGCCACCAGAGCTGCCTAAGTGCTGTATAGGATGTGACTTAACATGTTCATTAGGACTTCATATCGTCTGAATCACTACAGCTTTTCTCTGCCCCTGCCCAGCCCTCTGAGACCATTTTGCCCCCAGCTGACACACTCCTTGAGAAGTCATTAGCATCATCCCCGTTACCCACACTCCTGCCCGCTTGAACCAGCTGGTGCAGTTTGGGACTCTTTCCACAAGTGGTTTTTTTTTTTTCTCCTCATCAAAGCTTTGGGCCAGGAGATTCTAGGAATTTAGGAACAAGAGGACATGTCAGGAGGATGAACTGAATTCCCTCATGCCTGATTGCAGCTGGCCTCATTCCTGGTGGGGCTGCTGATGATTTCGCTATAATCAGTTTTCCCTCCCAGCAGGCAAAACCTGAGGCCTGTGCACATGGCCGCCTCAGTATCCAGTTTGGAAGGCGAGTGTGTGAATCTTAGGCTGATAGGTGCCAAGAAAGAGGCAGTGAAAGTCAGAAGTCAGGGCATATCTTAGTGAAGACTTGGCCAACCCCTTTGTCAGACAGATAGGCAGACAGTGCCCAGAGAAGGCAAGTAACTTGCCCAAGATCACACAGCAAGTTGGTGCCAGAGTCAGGACTTGAGCCCAGGATGCTTGCTTGCTACAGGGTGTTCCCCATACCATCCCTCTTCCTTTCTCCGTGCTCCTGTCTTCAACCTCCAAAGGGAAAATTAGTTTATGGGTCTCATCCCCTCTTCATACTTCCTGCTAGAAAGAAACATTCTGGTTGTGGTTTTCTGATGAAGAGTCTCAACCAGCAAGCTGGAGGCGCATTAAGGAGGTTGTAAACCACTCATTTCTGTAGCCCAACCCTAAGAGGTGAGTTGGGCAGCAATGACCATTTTGCAGGCTGGGGAGCTGAGCCTCAGAGTCCTGAGTAAGACTTCTGATTCCAGATGCCCTAGGCTTCCCCTTCCCATATATTCTACTTTCTGAGCCAGGCAGTTGAGGTGGGCACTGCCTGGAGGTAGGGGAGTAGATGAGATGGGCTCCATAGGCCTCCTCCAGCCCTTGGGGTCCTGCCTGGATGTAGTGACAAGGACTCTCCTTGTCTTTGGCTCTATTCCTGAGTGGCTGTGGCTGAAAGAGAATGTGGAGTCTCAACCCTGGGCCTTGTTCTGTCTCTTGAGCCTTGTGCTGCTCAAAACACAAGGCGCTCAGTTCCCCAGAGGGGCCTGACCTGAGGAAGTAGAGAAACCATGTGGCTGGGGCCCCTGGTGGGGAGCTGCACTCATTCCTTGGGCCTCGGGCCAGCCGGCTGCAGCCACGAGCTGGGCTTGCAGAGGAAGATCCTCTCTCCTGGCCAGGCTGGGTGTGCACGCCATGTGGTCATCTTGCACAAGCAGGCGCAGCCAGACAGAGGGAAGCAGACAGGCAGAAGTGGGAGCCACATCCAGCTTGGCAGATGCCTCCCTGAGACTCAGAGGGGCCAAGCATTGGGGGCCCTGGGGCGAGCAGTAGACATGGCATACTCTGCTAGGTAGTGGAGGGGAGATGCAAGCTCGTGGGGTGTTGGGGTCTTCTCCGACCTCAGTCTTCCATTGGGGCAATAAAGTGCTGAATGTCAAGAGCTCTTTGGGTCCTTCCATCTTAGCCCATCTGTGATTGTTTCAATAAAAAATGTGTTGCATCTCTCTGAAAACCTCTAGCTTTTCCCAGCCATTGTGCCCTTAATTACAAACTGGATTCCTTGAAGCCACTTGCTTCACCCCTCCATAGGAGGGAGACAGAAGCCAGAGATGTAAGGTGGGTGCAGGAGGTCCCTTAGCATATCCACAGTAGGACTATTTTGTGGTCCTTTTGTGTCTTAGCCCAGAATTCTGATGAGCCCTTTGAGGGATCATAGACTTGCTCTAGTCCATTCTATTACTCAATGTCCAGTAGCAGCTGAGATGACAGATTGGAGCCAGACTGCTTAGGTTCAAACCCCAGCTCTGCTCTTTAATAATTGTGTGACTTTGAACAAGTTCCCTAACTTCTCTGGGCCAGTAATGGATACCATCTCATATTGAATTTTGGGAAGTCACTTCTGGAGTTCACTGCCACTGTCATTGTTACTGCCCCACCCTCATTGCCTAGTGACCTATACTTGGGCTGCATTTTGTTATGCAGAAGGGAATCACTTTGGGATTTTGACTGTTCCAATGGCCTCTCCCTTGCTTTTACCTTAGAGACGTCCTCTCACATTGCTACTGCCTGCTGTGTGCCAGTGAGGACTACCTGTCCGTGTGTCATCTTGTCTCATCCTTGTACCCTCCCCATTGTACGGCAGAGACAACTGAGGCTGGCTCAGAGAGGCCTGTGAGTGGTAGAGTCAGGACTGGCATCAGGCTTCAAAACCTCCTGGGGGAGGCTGGCCCACAGCTGGGTCTGAGAAGACTCCACAGATCAGTCTGGAGTGTCCTCTGGATGGGGGCCCAGGGGTTTGAGACCTTCCTGGTGGCCACTGGGTCTGGATATATTGGGCATTGCAGCCAGGATGGGTGCTTTGGAGGTCCAGGCTGAATGGTGCTCCTGTGTTTAGGGGGGAGTCTCCCTCTTCTCAGACCTTGTCTAGGGGTTGGGCTGAGCTGAAAGGGTCTTTGGAGATCATACAACTCCACCCTGAGCAGGACAGAGGATCAAGTGAAGCCTGGAGCGGAGAGGGGCAGGGGCGGGCCCAAAGTCACACAGTGGCTGGAGGTGAGCCGGCTACAGCTCCAGGCTGCCTCCAGACACTGGGCCTAGAGAGCAGAGCGTGGACTGCTCTGGTCCTTCCTCTTGTGGGCCATGTGGAGTTGGCCAAGTACCCAACTTGACAGCCACCTCCTGTCCCCTGAGGGATTTGCCCTCTACTACCAGATCTCCCCCAGTCTCCAAAGGCCAGTGTGGGAACTCCATGCCTTTGAAGGTTCCCTTGATCACAATCTATTTATCTGGCTGATGTCTCCCATTCCAGAAGTTGAGAGGGATTGAAGTGAGGCTGAAATTTGCCAGGCAGGCTCCAAGGATGTGGGGAGAGGAAGCTTGAATGGGGTCAGACGTGCCTTCCCCATGACATGACCTGGAGACAGGCCTGTATATGTGTACACTGTGTGCACACACACGTACCAGTACCCAATGGGAGCTGCTTCTCTGACTGCCAGGCTTTGCCTATGTGCAGCTCCTGCAAATAGGACAGAGTTCAGCTGGGTCCAGCTCTGCCACACACTTTCTCTGTGGCCTTGGCTCTAATGTCCTTTTCTCTCTGAGACTCAGTTTACCCATCTGTTAAATTAGACCCATAACCTTTCCCTCAAGGGAGGTTGTCAAGTGAGGTTTGGCCTGCAAAGTGACCAGCTTGGTCCTAAACTCATTATTATGTCCTCATTTCTCCTTTTAGGGGTCTGAATGAAGCCACATCCTTCTGTGGGATAAATGAGAATCCCTTGTCCTGATCCAGGAGGGCTTCCTGACAGAGGAGGGCTTTGAAGGGAGTAGATGGGATTGCAGGACAGAAGAAGACCAATAGTCTGGACACATACACATTTCAAGGTCTCTGTGTTCAGTGAGGGGCCCTGGTGGTGCAGTGGTTAAAGCACTCTGCTGCTAACCAAAAGCTTGGTGATTGGGACCCACCAGCTGCTCTGCAGGACAAAGATGTGGCAGTCTGCTTTCTTAAAGATTTACAACCTTGGAAATCCTATAGGCAGTTCTATCCTGTCCTATAGGGTCACTATGAGTGTCTACTCTGTCCTATAGGGTCACTATGAGTGCTGGCAGTAGGCTTGGGTTTTGGTTTGCTCACCAGTATAGACTTTGCATTTGCTTTGGGATTTGTTTTAGGGTTTGGTGTTTTGGTTTAATTCACTCACCGGTCCCTGGCAGCATTAGAAACTAGAAAGATAGTTATCTTCCATGAAGAATCTTTTAGGTTTTTCTTCTAACTTTTATTTTTTTGTTGTTAACATACGCGGCCAAACACACACACGTTCAATAGTTTCTCCATGTGCAGCTGAGGGTCACTGATGATGTTTTCCAGTGTGCGGCCATTCTCACCCTTCTCTTCTGAGCCGTTCCTCCCCTGTTAACATCAACTCACTGCCCCCGAGGTGCCTATCGAGTCTTTCGAGTTGCTGTTGTCAGCTTGATCCTATATAGACAGGTTTTTGAAAGGGCATGATGCTCAAGGCAGGACCTTTTTAGTGAAGCCAAACTCTTGTTAGGTTTGAAGAAGACTTCTGGGGCTTCGTAAAGAATCTTTATTGCTTGAGCAGCACAGGCATTCATGTGGTCTGAAAAACATGTACTTTGTTTTATATTAAATTTCCCTGGAAAAGCAATAATTTGAATTCCAGCAGGGCAGAAGGAGGAATGGGTCTCCCCAAACTCCAAGCTTGAGGGCTTTCTTTTCCTTTTGAAGTAGCAGTGGAGTGTTCCCTCTTCCCCTCACGTGCCTCGGAGGCGTCCCCACAGCTGATGTTTTCCCAGCTGCCTGTCTCCCCAGAGGGCAGCCTCTGAGTGGGGTCAGGACAGGACTGAGGGGGTCTGATCTGCCTAGGCTGGTGGGTGGCTTGGCCTCCTCTGAGCTACTGAAACTCCACCGTCAGGTTGGTGATGATGTCCACTAGTGGCGTGATCTTGCATGATCTTGATCTTTCTGAACCTCACTTTTTTTTTAATCTATAAAATGGGGATCATGATTCAGCAGTGTGGCTTTTGAAGAGCACTTTATAAGCATCAGAGCATCATAGTCTGAGCTGGAAGGTGCTGTGGAGACCTTCCACACTTGACCCCGGAGGAAACTGAGGCCTTCAAGGGCTCATAAAAGTTCTCAGCAAGTCAGTGGCTGGTCTGGGCCTAACTTGACTTCCTGACCTCTAGTTTGTGTCCTTCCCACTGTAGTACATTGACCAGGTCCCAGGTGGGTAGATTGGCATTTGTCTCCATGCTGGGGAAACTGGCACCATTTTCTCTTCAGAAACTCTGAGCAGCTCTTTGTGTGGCAGTGTTTGTTGGGGACAGGGTTGGTAACTTTACTTGGAAGCCAGATTTGGTAACTTAAGGACCCCACTGGCTCTCTGGATTCCAGAACCAAGGAAGTGAGACTGCTTGGACATTGTCATATGTCCCTGCTGGGGGTCTGGGTCAAATATACCCTACGGGTCCACTCACTCACCTGCAGAAGTTTGCTCTCTCTTATTACCTCAGGGGTTTCCTGGAGACTTCGGGGAAAGAGGCCCTCCTGGATTGGATGGAAACCCCGTAAGTATTTCAAGTCTTCGGGAACAGGAGAGAAATTCAGAATAAACACACAGGTTTTAGGAGCCCAGACTTTGAGGTCAGACAGATCTGGGTCAAGTCCCAGCCCCATCACCTACCAGCTGGGTACCCTTGGGAAAATTACATGAGATCTCTGAACCCCCAGCTCCTGTCCACTGTGGATGCCCCATAGCCCCCTAGAAGAGAGCCCCCAGGCCCACTGAGTCCCAGCCTGTGCTCCTTCCCCTAGGACTTTAGAAGGTTGATGGTGACTCTCCACTGGCGAGCCAGTGTGCCACCATCTTAGAAAGCGTCAGGAATGTGCATGGGCTGGCAGAAGTCTGGGAAGCAGATGATTTGCAGGCGCTGTTTGGAGAGAAGAGCCCAGTTCTAAAGGAGTCCCAGCACAGCCGTGTTTACAGAGTTTGTAAATAATTGGAGGCCCAGGCTCTGTTCCACAGAGCAGCCAGGTCAGCCTGCCCTGGGAGCTTGCCTTTCCCTTTCATCCCAGGCTCCAGGCTTGGGAGGGAGAGGATGTTTGTTCTCAGCCTAGGGCATGCAGACTATGCCCTGAGCCCCTAGGGCCACCTGCCCTGTTCCTCCATCTCCCTCAGACCAGGGGAAACCAGACTTCCTGTCTGGGAAGCTGTGCTTAACTGTGCCCCCTGCAAAGGTGGCTGCTGGGTGCCAGACCCATCAAGGACCTCAATCGACCCTGATCACGGGCTAGTTCAATACTACACATGCTCTTTAGCCTCTTCCCAGAGCCTGACTTGGCTGGAGGTGACCGCCAGGCTCACTTGGGGGCTAGAGCCCTGGCCTCAGAGCCAGATGGCCCTGGGTTTGAATCCTGCAGTATCTCTAATTGCTACTTTCCTTCTTTGTAAATGAGGGTCAGAACGCCAACCTAAGAGCTGTCATGAGAATGAAATGAGCGAAGGCAGGAAAGGAAAGCCCACACTAACTGTTCAGTGGGTGGAGCTGTTGTAAATAGTAGGTAATGACAGAACTCAGTCATTGCCCTCCAGGACTCAGTCAATGCTCAGGAGGCTACCTAGTTCATAGACACTCTAGTCCATTGCACAAGGCTCAGTCAGGTGAGCGGGAACAAAGAGGTCTCTGGGGCCATGAGAGGAGCAGGGAGGGCTTCTAGGGAAGGTAGTGTCAGAAGTGGGCTGAGTAAGAGTTGAGGGGACGTTCCAGGTCGAGAGAATGTCAGCAGAGGCATGCAGGTGGGAAATCAGTTCCTGCCCAATACCATTTTTGCACTAACCATTACATTGATATCATTCTGGAAGTTTCTTTGGGGGAAGGGCAGGCATACATATCTTTATACTCAACAGTCTGGAAGAGCAGAAAAAGCACTGGACACCTCACGTCTGGTCCCAGCTCTGCCACAAAGTTGCTGAGTGATCTTGTGCAAGTCACTTCCTTCTCTGAGCCTTGTTGCTGTGTGTCATTGAGTTGATCTCAACTCATAGTGACTCTATAGGACAGAGTAGAACTGCCCATAGCATTTCTAGGCTGTAATCTTTATGGGAGCAGATCTGCAGCCTTTTCTCCTGCTGGTGGATTCGAACAGCCAACCTTTCTGTTAGCAGCTGAGCATTAAACCATTGTGCCACCAAGACTTCCTCATTTTAAATCTGGGGCTCTTGCTCACCTCCCTGTCTCCCTCTTGGGGACTGATTGTCAATTCTCACTGATAATCATGATTTCTGGAGCCCCTATTTTTATTCACATCATTGTGTTTTAAACTTGACCCAAACTCCTCCACCTGTCTTTTTCCTCGTCAGCATGAGCAATGGAGGATCCATTGATAGAGATGAAGGAACTGAGGCTTAGAGGGGTAAATCACATTGTCCATTGCCACACAGTGCCTTAGTGGCAGAGCTGGCCTAGAAGCATATCTCCTGACTCCAGGCAAGAACTCTTCTTAGCATCTTGGGGCCCTGGAAGGAGGAGACATCTGAGGATCTGGGGTGGGTGGTTGGTGGTGGTACAAATTCCCCAAGTCCACTCCTCCACCCCCAGCACCTCCTGGGTGAGGAAGGAGGGCCCGGGGGGCTGGCCTGCTGGCTCTAGCCCTCACTGTTATGCTATTTGCTTGCATGAGACCTTGAGCAAACCACTAACCTCTCAGTTTTCCCATCTCCATAGTGAGGGTGAAATACGATCGTCCAGGTTAAATGCCCTGCACGGTGCCTGGTATTGACACCATTATTTTCAGTACTGGGCTTCTGCCTGGTCTTTCAGACTTATGATTGGAGGGTATTAGATGTGGACATCTGACCTCCCCATTTTTCAGATGTATAAAGCTGTTGGCAAAGCGAGAAAAAGTCCAAACCCATGGTGCAGCTGCAGCGTGCTCTGCTTTGAACTAACCACTGTCAGTAGCTGCCCCCTGCCTTTCAGGAGATCAGGGGGGATTCCAAGTCTGCCAAGGAGTGGTGGTCACCAGAGAGGCCTGTGGTGGTGAGCTGCAGGTGATGAGGTCTGAGCAGACCCTTGAGGCTGAAAGACCAAGCTCAGGAGGCTACCTAGTGGGCAGGAACCAGGCCTGGTCAGCTCCCAAAGATCCCACCAGCTGCCTGCACAGAGGATGGTGTAAAGGGAGGAGCCCTGGAGGGAGCCAGAGCACGACTGGTCTCAGTTGAGTCAGTAACCACCTTGGTTTCTTCCTATTTGCAGGGAGAACTGGGCCTGCCAGGACCCCCAGGAGTCCCTGGCCTCATTGTAAGTACACAGACACATGGACCAGAGGGCTGGGGTGGGACCTGGGCACCAGGAGCAAGCAACTGATCCTGCAGGGGAGGCTGAAAAGGTCCGTCGTTCCCCAAAGCACAGGAGAGGCTTGGGGAGCAGAGAGAGGGAAGCCTGCAGTGTGGCTGAAGTTGGGCTGCCTGCCTTCTCTGAGCCTGTTTCCTCATTAGTTTCCCATTAGAGGATGGGAGCATGGAGTATGAGGCTACAAATGGACTTTCACAGCTGCTGCCAGTCCATGACTCTGCAAGGTGGTCTGGGTGGGTCTGCCTCTTCCATGGGGGGGGGGGCCTTCAGGTCCAGAGCGGGGAAGTAACTGGCAGAGAAGCTGAGACATCTCTTCACCCTGCACCTCAGAGCCCTGACTTTGGGGCCAGAGCTCCAAAGGGCAAGAAGTCACTTCCCCATTCTGAGCCTCAGCTTTCTCATCTGTAAAATGGGGGCAAAAGCAGAAGGTTCAAGGAGGCATTGCATGTACAGTTCTTGGCCCAGGGTCTCAGTCAGTGAGAATCCTGTTATATCAATTACTGTTATTATTCCCTGGGCTCAGCAAGGCCTGTACAGAGGGAGGCGGGGGGTGATCTGACTGCTGGCTTCATCTAGGTGAGGGTCTGGCCTTGTGATGTGGGTTTTTTTTTTTTTTTTTAGCTAAAACCAAGTCTGAACCTTGGGGCTGAAGGCTAGGTGCCAGTGAGAGGCCAACACCTGGGAAATGACTCTAGGAGCTTCCCCTCATGTCTGACGTTCTCTCTCCTCATTATTCTTGGGGTTTAAGTTAGGGACTATGGCGGGACATTCCTTTGGCCACACCAGTAACTTTGCTGAGAAATACAGCTCAGAGGGAGGCTGCAGAAGACGCTAGGGAAGGTCCCGTTGCTCAGGGCAACAGCCTAGAAGAAGACCCGGAGGTCCCCTGTGGCAATATGCTCCTGCTTAGGTGTGCTGGGGGTGGGGCCTGGGCAATGGAGGAAGGAGGCAGATCAACATGTGTCCAAACCCTGGCCATGCCACTTCAGGCTCTGTGAACTTTAATCACTGGCCTCACTTCCTTGGGCTTCAAGGCTGCCCTCAGTACAGTGGAACTGTTATCACTCTTGTTATGATTATACACACACACAGTCTGGTCCAGTCCAGTCCAGTGGTTAAGAGGAGAGTCCGTGGAATCAGGCCTCCTGTGCTTCTACTTCATCAGTGCGGTGGGGATAATATTGGAAGGTGTTTGTGAGGATTTAGATGAATTAATACATGTAAAGTGCCTAGTCCATGGTAAGCACTCAAGAAGTATTAGTTATAGTATCAGTAGTTATTGTTGTTATTATTACATATACACAAGCATCCATGGGATATTTTATGCCTGGTAGTAGCTGTCTGGATTGCTGAATTGAGAAAGATTTCAAAGTCACATTGGAACTTAGTGGGAGAGAGTGCTGCAATTGATTAGCGATGTCTGCCTTGGCTTGTGATTGAGAAGTGACAACACATGAGTCAGGCATTTGACATCCCTGACATCCATTCAACAGGTCTTTGGTGAGTGCCTTCTCTGACAAAAGGCACTGAGCTAGATGCTTTGGAGAAAGTAATACAGGTGGTCCCCAAATTACGAGGAATTCAAGTTACCACAAAACTGCACTTATGACTGTCTGCTTTGCTGGGTTTTTTTTTGGAACATCTTATTGTTGGTGTTATATACTACAGACAGTGTTGTAGCATGTAATTTTCTGATAATATCATTCTCATGCCCATCCCCAAAGACAAATAAAGATCGGATTTAGAAAGATACTGATAGGAAAAGACAATGAAAACTAAAACTAAAAAGTGAAGTATTTGACTTATGTCAGAACTGACTTATGACAGAGTTGTCATAAGTTGGGGGCTACCGGTATCTGAAATGAGAGTTAGAGAATCTGAGTTCACAGGGACCTCAGTGTCATCTAGTTTAGCGCTCTCTAAGTCCACCAGGGGTCCCTTCTGGAGCATCTTGGTCAGGTGGTTATTAAACCCCTCTTTGAACACCTCTGGGATTTTGAAACGCCCTCCCTCCTGTGGCAGCCCAGTCCACTTCCACAGAGCTCTCATTGTTCAGTGTTTGTCTGTCCTGAGCCTGAGTCAGCCTTGCTGTCCCAGGAGAGACCGTCTGAGGTGTGAAGATGGTCGTGGTCCCTTCTTCCCAAGGCTCCCTTTTTCAGGCTAAATAATCCCAGTCCCCACAGCTTTCTGCAGGGATGTTTACATATTCTGTCTGTCATCCTTGGCACACTCTTCTGTTTGTCACCATTCCGGTCCACTGGCTTGGGTGTTGGAAGGGACAAGAATATTGGTTGGTTGAATAAACCAGATTCTGGAGACTCAAACTGTGCCATCTCCGCTCTCGGTCCTCCTGATCCTTCATAAAGCTCTGTCCCACTCTCTTCTCCTTTGCTCTCCACGGTTAGGGTTGCAGCTAAAATACAAGATGCTCAGTTACGTGTGAATTTCAGATGCGACATTTATGACATGTCTATACTAAGATGTTGTTGTTATGTGCCGTTGAGTCAAACCCGACTCATAGCGACCCCTCCTTGGGTTTCCGAGGCAGTGTCACTACAGAAGTAGGATTGCCCAACCTTCCTTCCGAGGAGTGGCTGATGGGTTTGAACCGCCAGCCATCTGGTTAGCAGGCAAGTGTCTTAGCCACTATGCTACCAGAGCTCCCATACTAAGATAGCATTCCCTATTTATTTGAAATTCAGATTTAATAAGGCATCTTGTATTTTCATTTGCTAAATCTGGCAACCCTATTCACGGTATCTCTTAAAGGAGTCCCACCAAGCAGTCAGGAAGACTGAGGCCCTGGACCAAGGTCACACACAGGCAGGAGAGGCTGGAGGCGTAACCAGAAGCTGTACCTCCCACCCCTAACCCAGGGCCCTCCTCCCCACACTTCACATCTCGGGCCTGATCCTGGAACGGAGCCCTGGTCCTTCAGGTGTTTCTCAGACCCCGAGCCTGAGCCTAAAGCCCTGTTCCAAAGAGCTTCCCTGCCCAGCTTTGGAGTTCCATTGGGCCCTGTTTCTTTCTCCGGCCCTTTTCTGCCCATCTTCCCCCTGGTTTTCAAGTTCCCTTTGCTGTTAAGGTGAAGTTCCCTTTTCTTCCCTCCTGGGAGTCAGTGGGCTGGACCTGAGTCTGCCAAGTCATCACTGCTCCCCAAGTCAGACTTCCTCCCACCCAGGCCACCCACTCCCACTCTGGAGTTTTGGGAACAGCTGCTTCTGTTCCTGCAGAGAAATTGGCCTCCTCAAGAAGCTGGAGAAAAAAGGAAGTTTCTAACAAGGAGTTAAAGGGGCCAAGGGACTGTGAGTCACCTTTGGTTTCCCAGAGGATGTGGGCTTTTAGCTGAGCAAATGGGAAGCCCACATATTGATAATCATTTTAATGAAAATTCAGACTTATCCAGGGCTTTCTGTCTAGTCAGCTAAAGCGGTTAGCACACAGACTGAAGCAGGACAGTCACCGTCCCTGCAGTCCTTACAGCTAGGGGGAGGGGCTCAAGAGGACACAAACGTTTACGGAGCGTCGGGTTGCTCTGTGTGTGCTTGACACACATTAGGGCTGCAGAACCCCTCGACACTCGTGGGAAGCAGCAGTGCCTTGGAACAGGGAAGCCGTGGCCTGGGGTCACCAGCCGGGGAGTGGAAGCATTGGGGCCAGTCAGTGACCACTGACCCCCCTGCCGCCTTTGAGGTGAGACTTCCTCGAAACAAAACAGCCCCCTTTGAGTAACTGAAACCCTTTCCTTGGCTGACCCTCAAGACAACTGCCTGGTTCCAGAATGTGCTCAACAAAGAAGATTTCTGTCTTTTTTATGTTGAGTGACACAGAGGGAACTTGGCTCCTCTGTTCAATGGGACCCAAGAGCATGTGATGTGGTCCAAACCCAGCCTGTGGGGTACAGTGGATGAGTCAACCTTATTATGCCCCTAAGTATTCATCTGACTTTTGTTTCCTTCCTTCTCCATAAAGTAGGTTAATAACCCCAGTAGCTGACTTTTACCAAATCCTTGTGTGCCAGGCCTGTGCTAAGTGTTTCGTTGCCTCAACAACCCTCTGAGGGTAGAGAGAGTGTCACCATCCTACAGTTATGGAAGCTGAGGCTCAGAGAAGTTAAAGCACCTGCCTAAGGTCACACAGCCAGTAAACTTGACTCAGGCCTGTCTCCACAGCTCATGTTCTTCATCACCGCACCACATCGCCTGCTGTGCAGGACTTCTGTGCTCAACAGTGACAGTGGTGCATGACAGTGTGGAACGGCAGCACCAGGGGCTGTCTAGGGTGAGAAGGCTGGACTCATGCCCCAGGTCCCTGTTCCTGAGTTGCTGACCTCCTGGGGGAGTTTCTGGAAAGAAGCTTTGTTGCTTTTGAAGCTGAGTCCAGGAATCATTGCAGCAAGAGGGCTTGACCATGTGAGCGTGCACGTGTCTTTTGCACCCACAGATGAAGCCACCTTTGGGACATCTCCTCCAGGCCAGGTTCTGTACTAGGTGCTGGGGTCACAGCAGACCTGACACCTGCCCTCACTCTGGTGGTGGGACAGACAGGGAGCTCTGAGATATGATAGCAGGGACATGGGTTTGTGGGGTCAGAGAAGTGATATTGGAGTTGGGACAAATGGGCATTGACAATATGAGTTGAGGGTAGAGCACAGAGGGTGTAGAAACAGCTTGAGAAGGGTCCAGGGTTGCATCAGTGGGTGAGTGGCAGCAGGCAGGAAGGTGAGATGTGTGTGAGTGAGGAGGACCCTGTGGGCACATCCATTGGGCAGGATGGGCACTCACGTCTTCTTTCGGGGTGCCTGGAAACCCTTGGCCTGGCCACCTGCTGGCATGTGGCAGAGGAGTAGAACTTATTCCTGAATTTCCAGTCTGTCCTCATGCCCGTCATCATGAGTGACAGTGTCCAGGAAAGGCAACCTTGGATCCTTTGATCGGGAGTAAACAAAGTCAACGCAGAACTTATGAGCATGGACTGTGGGCCAGACAGACAGACAGGCAGACAGACCTGGGTTTCGGTCCTGTCTCTGCCCTCTACTCATTACTTTATTTCTCTCTAAGCCTCAGTTTCTCATCTGTAAAATGGAGTGGGACTAATAATAGTGTTGACATCACAGGTTGCTATGAGGGGTTGGTGGGTGTCCCAGTAGCTGGCACCATCCCTGGCACAGTGTGAACCCTCAGAGCTTAGCTCTTGTTAATGAGGATTGGACGAAGTAATGCCTACAAGTATCTAGCATGGTGTCTGGCACACAGTAAGGGCTCTTTAAATGGCCACAGTTGTGGTTCATTTTGTGTTTGATGGGAGTCCACAAGTTGAAGGGTAGAGTGTGGCGAGCAGTGTCTGAGAGCACAGAGAAGTGTGGACCAAAACCGAAAACCAAACCCACTGCTGTTGAGTTGATTCCGACTCAGTGACCCTACAGGACAGGGTAGAACTGCACCACAGGGCTTCCAAGGCTGTAAATCTTTACTGAAGCAGACTGCTTTATCTTTTGCCTATGGAGTGCCAGTGGATTCCAATCATCTACCTTTTGGTTAGCAGCTGAATGCTTTAACCACTGTACCACCAGAGCGCCTGAAACTTGGACAGAAAGTCCAGATTCAGGCATTAGTCATTGCTCTTGCTTGTGGGGACATGACATTCTGTATGTCGCTTGGCCAAGCTGCCCATGAGAGCTGTTTAGGGTGGAGCAGACAGATCCTCTGTGAGGTAAGCTGGGGAAGGTAGCTTGGCATTTTCTCTGTTTGTTTGTGTGTGTGTTGGGGGGGGGGGAGCGGTTAGTTACATGGAGAAGACCTTCCCTGAATATGTCCCCTGCAGCCTGGGGCCCTTTTCCCAGATCTTCCCCCTTGAGGTTGGATGGCCATGCTACGTTCCTGACCCCCATCATACACAGACCTGTTGGAGGCCTTTCAGAGGCAACCAAGGGGCCTAGGGGATGAGGAGAGAGCCCCCTCGGTGCCCCACAGGAGTTAGTCAACCTTGTTCTGAATTCTGTCCCCACACAAGAAGTCATCTCCAGGCCTGGAGTGGGAAGGAAGGAGCCTGTGTTCCTGGGCTGCTGGCTGGCCTTTTCGTCACTGTGGCCCAGGCCCCCAGTGGAGCAGACGGTTCCAGGAGAGCTTAGTCTGTTTATTTGCACACCGTGGGGAGCTCTGGGTGGGCCACCCTCACTCCCTTCATCCAGGAAAAGAGAAGGGGACAGAGCAACAGCCAAATGGCCTGTTTAAATCCAACTCTCTGAAGGACTGTCTTTTCCTTTGGACCCCCCCGCCCCTCTGGGCCAGGAATCCTGGCTTCCTTGCCCCTTTTCCCTCTCTTCTCTCCAAACACGAGTCCGATATTGCCAGAAGCTCAGAGGACAGCCTGCCTGCTTTGAATCCCTGCTCTGCCCCTGCAGTGTGACTTCGCTCATGCCCTCCCCTCTTGGAACCTCATTCCTTTATCTATAAGTTGGTAGGGGTAGAACCCATCTTCAAGGGTTGTAGGAATAACTAAGTAGAGGCATGTGACATGCTTAGCACAGGGTCTGGCAACTAGTGGCACCTTTATTATTACTATTACTACCTGTTCAACTGCCACCTCATTTTCTTGATAAGAAATTACTTGATGGGACCTGGAAGCAGGAGCTCAGCCAGAACATTTTGTTGAAGCCACTCAGATGAGGGTCCTGAGGCCCAGAGAGGGGAAGTATTTTGCCGGAGGTCACATAGCCAGTCTGTGGCAGAGACAAGCCCAGGGTGACGGGCGGTGAGGGACAGGAAGTGAGGGGTGGAAATGAGGGTAGGGGTGCTGTTGGGTGCTGTCAGGTCGATTTTGACTCACAGTGACATTATGTGACAGTAGAAATGCCCATAGGGTTTTCTTGGCTGTAATCTTTGTGGGAACAGATCACGGGAGCCGCTGGTTGGGTTCGAACCACCGGCCTTTGAGTTAGCAGTTGTGTGATAAACCATTTGCTTCCCCAGGGCCCCTTGAAGGTAGGGTGGGGTTGTGAGCATCAGCAGTGCCTCCGCCAGGCCAAGCTTTGGTCTGTGAGCACCACACGTTCCCTGACTCTCCAGGGGCGTCCACTGCCACCTCTTCTGTAAGAACCAGGCAGGAATGTCATTTTTCATTCTCATCCCGCCCTCCCTCTGTGACGTCTCCAGGCAGCCTGGACAGGAACTCGAGTCTCCTTTCTTGAGCCTGGTTACCTGGGGCAGCCTTTGTTACTCACACTCAACTTTTTGACGGTTGTACTCTGACCTCTGAGCCTTTGCCAGGGCCTCCATAGAGCCTGACTTGGAGAAGTGGGAAGCTGAGGCCCAGAGAGGTCAAGTACATTGGCTGAGGTCACACAGCAGTCAAACACTTGGATCAGTCCCAGAGGATGGACAGGGGGAGAAGAGAGTATCTTTAGGGTTTCCCATTCTCTGGGTGTAGACTCAGTCACTTCTTCATGCTCAACCAGTTTCTCAACGTTGGCGTTACTGACATTGTGGGCTGGATACTTAGTTATAGGGGGATGGCCTGTGCATTGTAGGATGTTTTGCAACATCCCTGGCCTCTACCCACTAGATACTAGTAGTGAGCCCCAAGTTGTGATGACTAAAATTGCCTCCAAACAAGTGTTTTATACACTCATTTAGTTAGTTAAAAGAGCCCTGTGGCACGTGGCTAAGTGCTTTGCTGCTGTCCAAAGGGTTGGTGGTTTGACCCCATCAGCTGCTCTGCAGGAGGAAGGTGTGGCAGTCTGTTTCTGTAAATTATAGCCTTGGAAACCCTATAGGGCAGCTCTATCCTATAGGGTTGCTGTGAGTCAAAATTAACTCAGTGGCAGTGGGTTATACATGTTAAATCAGTTATGCCTGAAACAAGGCTAGGAGGCACATGATAATATTAATCTTCATTTGTTAGATGAGGAAACTGAGGCACAGAGGGACTGAAAATCAAACCCATTTCCAGCAAGTCGATTCTGACTCTTAGTGACCCTCTAGGGCAGAGTAGAACTGCCCCACAGTTTCCAAGGTTTCCAAGGCTGTAAATCTTTATAGAAGCAGACTGCCACATTTTTTTCCCATGGAGCAGTTGGTGGGTTTGAATAGCTGATCTTCTTGGTTTTCAGACAAGTGCTTTAACCACTGCACCACCAGAGGGCCTATACAGAACATTACTCACTCAGAATGATGACTCACTGTTATCAAGTCAGTTTCGACTCATAGCGACCCTTCCTTGGGTTTCCGAAGTGGTATCACTATGGAAGTAGATTGCCCAACCTTCCTTCCAAGGAGTGGCTGGTGGGTTTGAACTGCCAGCCTTCTGGTTAGCAGTCAAATGCCTTAGGTACTATGCCACCAGGGCTCCATATGCTCTTTCAAATCACTCAGTGAGTAGCAGGGAGAAACTGAGACCAGGGGTCTGACCCTGGTGCATGGACCCCCAGGCTTTTAGGGGCCCTCAATAAGGAGCTCCCTGGGTAGGGACTTGGCTTCCCAGGGCCTACAACCCCGCTGTTCCCGCCTTTGACAGTCACCTTTGAAGAACTTGGGTCTCCTACCAGCTGATCTCAGCATCCTAATAGTCTGTCTCCAACTCGGGGGTTTCTGGGATTGGCAGCCCTACTCCTCACTGCCCTCCAAAAAGATGATTGAGTTTCCAGGAAGAAGAAAGTACCTCCCCGTCACTTGGCTAGAGGAATCAAAGGTCCTGTTATGCCTTCTTTACCTCTTGCAGTACCTCTAGAGTGGAGGGCTCACTGTCCTCATTTTATAGATGGGGAGGCTGAGGTCCAAAGAAGTCCACTGAAGTGCTCTGAGCCCCTGAGTTAGCCAGGGACTCCAGTCTAATATGGGGTAGAAAGAAGTGCTGTGTGTGTGATGGGGGCATCAAGGCAGCAAGCAAGAAATGAACTCAGAGAAGGATCCATGTGAAATTTATTCCAGCACTTCAGTGGAGGCGATATTCCTGATTCCAGTATAAATCCAGTGCAGCCCAGCCCCAGGGGCCTTAGGGATCATTCCTCTCGAGCCAGTCCAGTGGGCCATATCTCACAGCATCCTCTTTTCTTTCTCTTCCCAGGGTGACATGGGAGTGTTGGGTCCCATTGGTTACCCAGGACCCAAGGGCATGAAGGTAAGTGAGGGCTGTCCTCTAATTTGGGCTGGTACCCACTGACCCATTTCAGTCCAGAAGAAGACTAGTGTACCTTAGACAGGGTGGGTGGTGGGAGGGTGGGTGTCCATAGGGGTGGTGGGGTGGAAGCTGGGGAGGCCAGGAGCTCAGTTCTTCCCTGGCCTTGACAGCCAGTCACCATCTGTGCATGCCTGACATCCTCACTGGGTACCAGTTCTGGGGCTGAATGTGAGTCTCACATGGTTCTGGGCCTCAGGGTGCTGTAGGTCCAGTGTGTGTGTGGTAACCAGGGGTGTAGACAGCTATAATGGAGAACCAATGAACTCAGACATCCTTGTGTTCCATGGGCATGCTAGGGCCACGTTCTGGGGACCACACAATGTGGCCAGTATGCATGTCATGTGGCTCAGCAAGTCCGTCTGTCCCTATCAGTAGCCTCTTCCCTTGGATGTTTCCAGAGCACTGTGGGTCACTAGTCACTGCCCCTTCTCCTAGCTCCTTTCGTCTACTCCACTGCCCTGTGAGATCAGGGTCATAGTCCCCTTTTACAGAGGAGAAAACTCAGTCCTGGAATTGAGGCACCAGTGGTTTTACCAGGTTCCTGACCTCTGTGACTTACAGCCTCCCTCACAGCTGGACCCTGGCCTTTGTCTTGCAGGGACTGATGGGAAACATGGGGGAACCCGGACTGAAAGGTGATAAGGTGATCTGAATACTCCCTTATTGCACTGTGTTTTATCTGCATGTGAGCCCCTCTCTGCCTCAGCACTGCTGCTGCTGTTTCTCTTCAGGCGATTCACTCCCCTGTATGGCTGCCTCCTCCCTGGCCTGCGTTACCCTTAAATCTGCACTCCCTGGCCTCTTCTTTGTCTCTCTGGGTGGGGACCTGGCAGAGGGCTCTGGGGGCTTGCAGACCTTGGCACATAGAGCATGGGGGGAGCAGCTGGCATAAGGGTGGAGGGTAAGGCAAGGTAAGTCTCTGAAAGTGATCCCAGGCAGTGCCTGGTATTTGAGGCCAAAGTCGTGGACACAGAAATTGGAGACTCTGAGCTGATAGGTCCTGGGGCAGGTGTGAGGTGAGGTCCTGTGCCCATGAGAAGCACAGGAGGAAACAAAGTCCACATAAACCTTCCTGCTTTGGAATCTGGAACCAACTCCAAAGAGCTTGTGGCCTGAAAATGCAATGGAAACCCTGGACAGGGCTCTGAGCCCCTGGCCCGGACCTCCTCCTAGCTGTCATTAGGAGCAGGCACACTTGCCACATGTCCCCTGCATAGCTCTGCTGCTGAACTCTTACTGTCTCCCTCACCCAGCACCAACCCAGCACAGGTGGGGAGATGGGATCCAGGAGTCTGGGGAGTACAGTGTCTGGTCTGGGTTGTGCCAGGCCTGAGGACGAAGACACGGAAGGCCCAGGGTCATCCCTTGTGCACTGCCCTGTGGGCTGTCTTCCTGCCTTCCCCCAGTTTCCTGGCAAACTGGGAACCCCAAAGGAGTGTTTGTGCCCTAAAAACCTCAAGGAGGGCCCTGAGGCAGCGGTCCAAGTGTCCACAAGAGCCTCTCGGCTGTCCCACCCCATGCTCCCTTTCTGTACCTGTCTTCAGGTGGCTCCGCATGTCCTGCAGTCTGAGTGGTAGTATCGGCCACCAGCCCCAGGCAGCATTCCCAGTGCTGTGACTGAGTGGACGATAATCCTCCAGAGCCTCCTCCCAGCACACGGAGATAGGAAGTTTGCCCAAGGCCACACAGCTGGTAAATAACGTATCAGCACTGGAACCCAGCCATCTGGTTCCAGAGTCTTCAACTTCGAGGTCACACGGTCAGAGCTGATGAGGCCCTCGGAGGTTACCTTCTCCAGAGCCTTCATCTCAGAGATGGGGAAACTGAGACCTAAAGAAGGGAAGAGATTTGCCAAAGGAAACTCAGTGATGCATTGATGGGGCTGACGCAGGCCTCTAGGCTGTTAGAAAATGATAACTGGGGGGCTGAAGTTGCCACACCCAGACTGTCTTGTCCATTCCCCAGCCCCAGGTAGCTGGAGGGTGCAGTGCTAATCCCAACCCTTTCTCCACCTCTTTCCAACTCTTCTGATTGTTGATAGTCCTGCTGGAAGCCCGCCTTTGAAGCCGCTTCTGCCTTCCCCCTTGGGGTTTTGGCCTTTTGGCCTGCCCTGCTGGCTGTCCCCCTGCTCCCTTCTATAACCTTCCCCCGTTGTACATTAAGGGGCTTTCTGGTGGAGGTGAGGCTTTCCCCACAGCTACCTGTTTATCCCGAGGCCCAAGACTTCAGCAGTCTGGAAAGACTGAAGTCATGGACAAGGGCGAAAGAAAGGAAATTGGGGAAAATGGGAGTGTAGGCAGGGAGCTTTTTATAGGCGCCTCTACAGGGCTGGCTCCAGCGCCGTTCCTTCAGGAACATGGAAATTACTGTGTTACATAGAATTCGGCTGGCTCACAGACTGCTGGGGCCGGGGACACAGAGATGTAAATGCTCTGCAAAAAGGAAAAAAGGAGGGGAGGAAATTGTTTTCCTGCCCATAGCTTTTAGGAAAATCAAGTAAGTCTTTTTTTTGGGGGGGTGGGAGAGTTTGGTTTTGGCCCCTTTGGGTGGATGGAGGTATCAGTCTTAAGGGGTGAAGGTGGTGACTTCTGATCCGGCCCCCTGCCCCCCTCCCCGGGTGACAAAGCCAGTCCTTCATGTTCCGTGGTCGCTTTTGCCTGGAATCCCACATTTTCCATGACCCAGCCTGGCCGCAGTCCCATTACCACCACTTGGTTCCCTCTGCTCCCAGCGTGGAGGTTCTGGAACCAAACTCCTACTGCAGGCCCAGCTCTCTCCAAATCAAGTGTCCTGATTTCTTAGGTAGCTTTTAAACTTTTCTTTCTAAAAAATTTTCACTCCCTTACTGCTCCTTTGCACATTAAAAAAGAAAAAAAGAAAAAAAGAAAAAAATAAGTTTCTTATTTCCCAAACTCCAGGATATTGTACAGGATTTTCCAAATTAGAAAAACCAAAGTAGGTTACTTCTGGGTTTTGTTCTATGGAGGATGTTCTGCTGCTGGCTCACGGCCTCGGCTGTGCAATGCGGGGCCTCTAGGAGTTCTCATTCTTCCTGGGCTTCTCTCCCCTGTCTTCCTCCTGCTGCCAGGGCTGGGGATGTTTCCTGAGTCCTGGGCCAGCAGACTGTCTGTCAGTAATGGCCAACACGGAAAGCTGGAAGGGAGGGCTGTGAGACATGGCTCCGGCCCTAAGGGAAATGTACTGATGTGTTTCGGCAACAGCTCACTTTTTGGGTGATCTCAGCCAAGTAGAACAGAGCTGAAAATAGGGTGGTGGGGGGGAGCGGAACAGGCCCCCAACAGTCAGAATCAGTGTCCCCAAGTCTATGCAAGAGATGTCGTCTTAGAGAAGAAACAGCAAGGCCTACCCTCAAGGCTAGGCTATTGGTTGTTTACACATGGTCTTAACAAGCTAGGCTCTCAGGTTTCTGTGCTACCAGCAAGAGTTGCTGTCAAATCAGTTCTGACTCATAGCAACCCCGTGTGTGTCAGACTAGAATTACTCCAAAGCTTTTGCAATGGCTGAATTTTTGGAATCTCAGCTGTAATGGAGAACCAATGAACTGAGACATCCCTGTGCTCCATGGGATGCTAGGGCCACGTTCTGGCCTTTCTTCCGGTGGCTCTGGGTGGGCTCGAACCTCCAACCTGTCAGCTAGCTGTGGGCTAGCATTTGTGCCACGTTTCTCATGCTGTGGCTGATTACAAGCAACGAATGAGAAGTAAACTTAAGGAAATCCAATAGAAGAAGTGAGGGTTCAAGCCTGGTGGTGGAAAGCATCAGGAGGCAGACTCAAGCACTCAGAAGCCACAGTGGTGCGGAGCCATCGAGCGAGGGGGCAGCGGTCCAGGCTGCACTGCCCCAGTGTGACAGCATCGGTTAAAGATGAACAGGTTGAATGATCAAGAAACAGTTTGTCCCAGTGTCAGTTCTCCAGGAAAGGATAGATGACACTGGGTGGTTTAGCTTCTGATGGCCCAGCTTCCAGTCATCTGAGCAACCCCAGGCAGGTCCACAGATTGGAGAGCTCGTAACCTCCCCCTAGGGCCTGTCCCCCAGCTCAGGCTCCCCTGTGGCCTGCCCTTTACTCTAACAAGGCTGTTGCTAGTCAGATGGACTTTGGGAAAGCTGTACCCTTGCTAGTGGGTCTGGATGCTGGGGAGGGTTCTGGAGCCCTCTATGGGGCCCATTGTAACCTTTGCTGGTGTGCATTTAGGGTGAACAAGGGGTTCCAGGTGTGTCAGGAGACCCTGGATTCCAAGGAGACAAGGTATGTGCATCTGATTCTTGCTCCCCACCCCGCTCCTGTTCTCCTGGTCCTGGATTCCTTCCCAGAGCATGTCATGAGCCAGCACCCACCCGTGAGATGGTACCATTTCAAACAGTCCTGTCTTCTCCATCCTCAGTGAACTCTCTGGTCAGCCTCTTCCCTCCCAGTTTACTTTCCCTACTGGCACAGAATTGCTCCTCTCAGGCCGTGGTTTTGCTCTGTGCTCATAAATCATTGATGGATCCCAGCTGCTCCCAGAGTGAAGCCCTGGATTCTCAATCTGACCCTCAGGACCCTTCTGCCCTCCTCTCTGCCCATCCCCATTCATAGCCCTGCACTCCAGCCCCACTCAACTTCCCACAGTACCTCCAGGCCTTTGCACCTTTGCTGCCTCAGCCTAAACCACCTTCCCCCGGCCACTTTGCAGAACCCAATCCCGCCCATCTTTCAGGACCCTTCTCAGATGCTGTTTTCCTGGCTGAGGAGTGGCCATCTCTCTCTCCAGGCATCCTGAGCAGCATGTCTGTAGTCTTATGGGACCACTTTTCTCCTCTGATTTATGGGACTTGTGCTCATAGTTCAGCCCCCTGCTAGACAGTGAGTCCCCTGAGGGCAGGGCCCCATCCTGCCCTGACAGAAGTTGGCTCAGGGGTCTACATGAAACAGCAGGTATTTAGGCATTTGTGCAGTGAGTAAGTGGAGTGCCTTACTAACTGACTGACTGGCTGAGGGGACAAACCAGGCGGCCTTGGCATTCCACGCTCCACCATGAACCTACTGAGGCCAGCTGCTCTTTGCCTGTGTCCAGCACCATGTGGCCATGTCTGGCCCTCACCCAGCCAGTCAATGAGGCCCAGATGTTGGCCTGTTCTGCCTCTTCCTCTTCCCTCCCGCTGGCCTGTGCTGACCCAGCCTCAGTGTCTCCTGCTTTGTGATGAGCCACGCAGACCTTGCTGCCTCTCCTGCTGGGCCCATGCTCCAGAGTTCTAGAGCATAAACGGCACTGTGGTGCCTGCTTGGAGCCCCAGGGCCCCAGGTTCCAGGATGATCTGGTGAGAACAGGGCTTGCAGATTGTACCTCTGCATCCCCAGGGCCCAGCCAACAGGGTGTCAGGGAAGTGTGGTCAGAGCGGGAGCCTGCAAGTGAGGGGAGAGTCTTCTTCCACAAAGGTGGCCATTCTCCAGGCCTTGGGCCGGCTGGGAGGGTGGCAGCTACTTCCATGGCCAGTGGCTGCCCCTTCCTAATGCCAGCCTGCTCTGCATCTTTTCCAGGGAAGCCAGGGGTTGCCAGGATTCCCAGGTGCACGGGGGAAGCCAGGACCTCCGGTAAGTACCTCTTCTGCCGTTCCCAACTTCACCCTCTCCTATGGTGATGGAAGGCCGTCAGGGGCACCTTCACACCCGGGACCTCATTTCCTTCTGTAGCAGCCCTGAAGGGCAAGCTGAGCTGGGCAGGAATGACATTTACCCACATTACAGGTGAGCACCCTGTGGGCCAGCATCATAGACAGCCTTCAGTCACTGGCAGAGCTCTGGTGGGAATTCCGGTTCCTAATGCCCGACTCTGGTGGTGTAGTGGTTAAAGCATTTGGCTGCTAACGGAAAGGTTGGTGGTTCGAGCCTACTAGCCACTCTGCAGAAGAAAGATGAGGCAGTCTGCTTCCATAAAGATTTACAGCCTTGGAAACCCAGTGGGGGTCGCTATGAATCAGAAGCGACTCAAAGGCAGTGGGTTTGGAAAGCCTTGTAAGCCATTAAGTTTACATTAAGCGTAAACCATTAAGTGCTTAACTGCTAACTGAAAGGTTGGGGGTTCGAACCCTCCCAGAGCTTCCTCAGGAGAAATGCCTGTGGACCTGTTTCCAAAAGGTCACAGCCTTAGAACCTGATGGAGCTTAGCTCCGCTCTGTGACACGCAGGATCCTCGGGAGTCAGAACCAACCACAACAACTGGTTTGTTTTTTGGGTTTTAATGTCTTGTACACAATAGAATCAGAAAGAAGGTTGGGCAATCTACTTCCGTAGTGATACTGCCTCGGAAACCCAAGGAGGGGTTGCTATGAGTCGGGTCTGACTCGATGGCACATAACAACAGCAACAACACAATAGAATGTTGTTAATAATAGCAGTGGTTATCACGGATTGAATGTATCAGATCTTCCTGTACTAGAGCTCTTCCCAAGGCTGCCAACAACCCCAGGAGTTGCAGGGAGTTATTATTGCTCCTATTTCACAGATGAGTAACTGAGGGTCTTCAAGGTGAAGTGACTTGCCAGGATCCCATTGATAGGGAACTGTGGAGCTGTCGAGTCAGATCTGACTCATAGCGACCCCTCCTTGAGTTTCAGAGGTGGTATCACTATTGAAGTAGATTGCCCAACCTTCCTTATGAGGAGTGGCTGGTGGGTTTAAACTGTCAGCCTTCTGGTTAGCAGTCAAATGCCTTAGGCACTATGTTACCTGAATTTTCTAACCACCCCAAATCAGGGGGATAATCTAAGGAGTTGGCAGGCCCTCCCTTATTCATTCCCTGCCTCTCTTCTCTTCTGTAGGGCAAAGTTGGAGACAAAGGACCTCTTGGGTTTCCTGGGCCCCCTGGACCTGAGGTATGTGATGCCCCATTCTCTGGCTACAGCTGGGACAGGGTGCTGTTCTTGGGAAACCAAGACCCAGAGAAGGAGAGGGACTTGCTGGAGGTTACAGAGCAAGTGAAAGATGGCAGAGAAATTCCTAGATGAGCAATCACTCCTCCTCAGCCTTCACCCTCCCAGTTCACCTAGGGAATCACAAAGAAGCAGCCTCAGAGTTCCTCTCCAGCCTGTGGGACCTCTGCCACTTTTACAGTTACTTTTACAGAAAAACTGTCAGGAAAAGGCCTGTGGGCTCTACTGCCTGGACCCTGAGCAAGAGCTCCCCGACTCCCACCACAGAGTGGAGCCTGGAAGCCTGTCCTGAGTGTGGGAGCAGCTCCCTGGAGGAGCTGGTATGCTCTCCTTGTCTCCCGCTCTTTCACACATGGGGACTCCACATTGGAGAACTAGGCTGAGCAGGAACCAGGGCTGTTGTCCTCAGGCATTTCAGCACCCAGGTCCTACTGCAAGTCGAAGCTACCCCCAGCCAGAGCCCCCACCCCACCCACCCACCACTCCGTGGCCCCTAGGCGTTGCTTGTCCATGAGGTCTCTGCCTCTGAAACAAAGGTCTGGCTCTTCCAAAGATCACTCCTGGTATTGCCTGGATGGATGAGGGAGTTTCCTGACAGCTACGAGTTCAGACTTTCCACTGTATTGACTTTGGCCCTGACACATAGTCCTATCTTTAGACAAGTGGAGTTGGCCTCTCTTCCATGACCCCGATTCCCTCCTCTGGTCACTGTGAGTCTGAGTTTCCCAGCGGTCTGGCCAGTGAGGAAGAGGAAAGCGTGCTCACTTATACTCATCGGGCACCTCTGGGTGCCAGGACTTGTTGAGTTGCCACCATAGCTGTGTGAGAGAAATGCTGCTCCTGCCATTTTGCAGACAAGGAAACTGAGTCACAGAGCAGAGCACTGACCTCCTCAGTCACTCTGCTAGTTGGTGGGGAATAAAGTCTACCTTTGCTCTGCCCTAAGGAACTCTGGTGGGACAGTGCATAAAGCATTTGTCTGCTAACCAGAAGGTTGGCGGTTCAAACCCACCAGCTGCTGTGTGGGAAGAAGATGGGCGATCTACTAAAGATACAGCCTTGGAAACCCAATGGGGGTCACTGTGAGTTGAAATCGACTCGATGGCAGTGGGTTTGGGTTTGTTTGTTTGTTTGTTTGTTTGCTGTGCCCTGGGTCCATGGGTAGGTCTGGGGTCTGCTTCCCCGTGTTTCTGTTCTGTTTTGATTGATTGACTTGGTATCCAGAAGACAGCTCTGCTTGGCTGGACAGAAGCTGGTGAGCATGTCAGCACTTCCCCTGGTTCTCTGCCTCCTTTCCCAGAGCTCATTCCCAGTTCAGCCCCCGCCGAATTATCTCTTTCACTATCAATGGGTCGGATGTGTGTGAGCACAGAATTCGATCAGCATCCCAGCCGCCAAGTTCTTACTGAACACGGGCCCACCCAGGCAGACTTGCTTTCCCAGGACACAGGACAGTACATCATTTTGGATGCAGATTTTTATTGAGTGCTTGGTGAGGGCCAGACAGTGAGTGAAGAGGGCTTTCCTCATATTCTTCCATTTGAGCCTCATCACAATAGCCCTGTGAAGTGGGAGGTGTGGGCACCATTTTACAGATGAGGAAACCAAGGCCCAGAGAAGCTAAGGAGCTTGCCTGGGGTCACACAGTGAGTCTGGCAGAACAGGATTTTGAGGCTGTCATCTTGAAGACAAAGACTTTGACTTCTTAGTTCCAAACTCAGGACTGTTCTGGCCTTGGCTGATGAGAAGGTGAGAGGGCATTGAGGTTGGGATTTAACAGAAATTACTAAAAGGTCAGAACAGAAAGGAAAAAAAAAAAAACAATTTATGAGGGCAAAATGAGGAGTAGTGTATTTTGGTCACGGGGACTCCAGTTTCTAGCTGACAGGAAACAGAGAGTAGTAGGGCTGCCAGGAAAGCCAGTGAGGTTCTAGGCCAGATGAACAGAGGTATAACACTCAAAACAAGGAAGGGGATGTTCCGTATTGGCCCTTGCTGGTCATATCATACCCATGGGCATCCTGCTGACTACACTCTCAGGACAATAACCAGCAGCAGAATTCAAACTAAGGGGCCCCGGGCACCTGACAACAGGTGAAGGGACAGAGAAGGGGCAGCTTCAGGGGATAGGCTGACCATTTTCCAAATTGTGCAGCGGCCGTGGTGGGGAAGAGGGATCCCCTATGCACTGTAGGGCCCTGAGGGGCAGCACAGTGGTGCTGAAGCACAAGAGAGGAGATTCTGCCCCGTTCCAGGAAGAATTTTCTGCCATGCGGTCTTCCGCTCAGGCCTCAGCAGGAGGTAGAAGCTCCCAGTGGGCCGTGGGCAGAGCCCACTGTGCTTGACCAGGAGGGGAGGGATTTCCGCTTAGGATAGGAGTGGGATTGATTAGATCTGTGCTTCCCAACTATCTCAAGGTCACAGCCGATGCAGAAAATAATCACAGTTGCAGGATTCCTGTAGTTAAAGGATGAGACTTATTGAGCAGAGATGGTTTCCCTGGGGCCACCCAGGCCCTGCTTGGCATCCTCCAAGGCTAAGGGGAGCAACACCACCCCTCCCCAGTAACTGCGGCCCAGAGGCCACACAAGACGTTCTGGGTCAAACACCCTCGCATGTGCCGGTTCCCGCGCTAAGTGCCTTCCTGAACATTCTCATTTAATTCTCTCAGCAGCTCTGAGAGGTTAAGTGCTGGTACCAACAGTCCCCATCTGGAACTGAGGGTCCGAGGTCAAGGTGGCTAACTGCCCTGCCCAGGGCCCCATCCCAGCAGGATGGGACGGAAGCCCAGGGCAGTCCCGCTTCCAGACCTCGACTCTCTTGTGAATGACCCTTCTCTCTGCTTCCCCTCAGGGGTTCCCTGGAGACATTGGCCCTCCCGGGGATAATGGCCCAGAAGGTGTGAAGGTGAGTACCTGCCCAGGGATGCTCCAGGTGAAGAATCTGACAGGGCTGTGGAGTCACAGGTCTCAAGGGCTGGTTTGGAAGTAGGTGAGTTTTGCCAGCCCATGGTGGAGACGGAGGTGCCACCTCTGAGACCATCTTTGTTCCCTTCTCTCCAGGGTAAGCCTGGAGCTCGAGGCCTGCCAGGACCCCATGGGCATCTGGGGTCAGAGGTGAGACCATCTGGCTCCGCCCCTGCTAATCCCTCCTGCTCATGGCCTCATCAATAAGTCCATCCTGACCTGAACACAAGCCCCCAGCCTGGAGTACCCCCAGACCTCATGCTAGAACCTGAGCTTGAGCTTGGGGCTCAGGGTTGCCTCAGACATGCCTTCCAGCTCATCCTTTGCCACCTGCCCCTGTGACCCTCCAGGGCCTCTCTGTTCCGGACGACAGAGAGGGTCACCCCTCCCTCCCCTGCTCCTCTGCTGCCCTGCGGTTGTCTCAGCTGCTGCCACTGTTCATCTCACAGTAGCAGTTTATCGAGGTGTTGAGTGTATGGGAGGGTAGCATTGTCAGCTCCAATTCCGAGGTGAGGCCACTGAGACAGAGAGGGGACAAGACTCCATCAGGTCACACAGTTAGCAGCAGGCAGAGTCAGGATTCAAACCCAGGTCTGCTTGAGCCCAAAGCCTATGGTGTAGGCCCTATGCTACTAACTTCTGTGCTCCCAGGAGTGACATCACTTGCACCGAGTTGCACAGCAGTAACTGCAAAGGGAAGGAGCTCTGGTAGCATAGTGGCTAAGTCACTTGACTGCTAACCAGAAGGCTGGCGGTTCAAACCCACCAGCCACTCCTCGGAAGGAAGGTTGGGCAATCCTACTTCTGTAGTGATACTGCCTCGGAAACCCAAGGAGGGGTTGCTGTGAGTCGGGGCCGACTCGACGGCACATAACAACAACAACAACAACAACTGCAAAGGGAAGGTTTGCTCCTTTATTCATGTGTGAGTGATGAAGGGGGTCGAGGGGTGGGATGCAGCCGTCCCTATGAGCCTATTGGAGCACCAGCTGGAGGGTTGTTGGGCATTCTGCCGGCGAGTGCCAGCTTGGGCTCCATGCATGTGGCCCTCCTTAGTGCGCCCTCCACCCTTACCTTGGCTCAGAGCCAAGGGCCACCCTGACACACAGCCCCAGAGAAGAGGCAGGAGGCTGGAAGTCACCATGACCACAGGCAGGCATCCTGCTGACATGGATCCCTTCTCAGGGCTGGTCCTCGGTCTGGTGGAATCTCAGCGCCTGAGCTAGGTCTGGGAGCCACCACATGAGGCCGTTTCCTGGAAGCTGGGGGAGAGGGGCGGGGGATTGGCTCCAGAGGGAGCCCCTCGGTCAAGCCTGGCATGCCAGAAGGGGCCAGTTTGGAGGCTGCCTGGGCCTGCGGGAGAGTCTGAAAAGTCCTTGTGGTCCAGAAGCAGGAAGGGGGCTGGGAGGAGGGAAAAAGCATCAGTCACGTGTGTCTGTTTGCACCACATGGCAACTCGAGAGAGCCCTTTATACAGCGCTAGCTGGTGTCCTTATCAGGTCATTCATTCACTCACTCATTCATTCTCATACTCATTCATTTCTCCCCTCTCTCCTGGGCTCCTCCCTTTTCTCCCTTCACCAAACACCCACTAGGCACTCTACACATGTGCCATCCTAAGCGATGCTTGGGCAGTGGTTTCAAAAAAGGAGTTAAGTCCTCACCGCTGTCCTCTAGCAACTCAGCTTAAGCCAGTCATTATATTTCAGGCTGATCTTGTGCACTTGACACCATTTTACAGATGGGGAAACTGAGGCACATCGAGGCTAAGGTCTGCCAGGGGGTAAATGGCAGAGGACAGCCCATATCTTGGAGCTGCAGGCTGAGGCTTCATTCCCCACAGCACACAATGGGGCTTTACTTTCCTGCCTGCACTGCTATGAAACTATGCCTGTGACATTCAGATGATACTGGGCCTTGTTTGCTCGGAAACCATTGTGTGGGCTGGCCTCTGGCCATGACCACAGAGCCTCTGCCCTGGGTTCTGTGGTGCCCCATTTCTCTTTGTCCAGGAGGGACTCTCCTCTGTCCACTCCTTTCCCTTCTTACAGGATAAATCCTCTGAGAACCCACTGGATTAACTTTTTCCCTTTTTCCTCTCTCCTGTCTTCCCTGACTCCAGGGAGATGAGGGACCCATGGGGCCACCAGGGGCCCCTGGCTTGGAGGTAAGTAGTGCTGGCCTGGATGAGGTGGGATTTGTCAGAGCTGAGCTAGCTATGGGCAGGCGGGGCAGCACCCCGTGGGTCCTGCTGGACAGAAGTCATTGGGGAGGACAGGGGGCCATGGGGCCAGCCAGAGAGAAGACTAGGACAGACTCCAAAGAACAGTGACAAGAGGCAGCACTATATGCCAAGTGCTTTGAGCCCATGTTCCCCTTTGATTCTCCTACGACAAGCACCACTTTCTTAGTTTCATGAGCAAGGGGGAAAATGAGGTTCAAAGAATGGGAGTGTTTATGCCCTGCCTGGAACCCAAGCCTGCATCCTCTCTACTGCTCTGAGCAGCTTTTTGGAAGCCACATGTCCCAGCCCCACCTTCTACATAAACCCCCAAAACGTGTATAACCCAGTGGTTCTTGAATTTTGGGGTCAGGGCCTCTTTACACTCTTCAAAGTTACTCAAGATTTCAAAGTGCTTTAGTCTATGAGTTACAGCTATGGATAGTTAGTATATTGGTCATTAAAACTGAGAAGTTTTAAAAATATTTATCCATGAATTCATTTAAAATTAATAATGAGCTGGGAGCTCTGGTGGCATAGTGCCTCAGGCATTTGACTGCTAACCGGAAGGATGGAGGTTCAAACCCATCAGCCACTCCTCGGAAGGCAGACTGGGCAACCTACTTCCACTGTGATACCCAAGGAGGGGTTGCTCTGAATTGGATCTGACTGGATAGCAGTTTTTTTTTTTTTTTTTAGTGAGCTATTTCATGTTAAAGTAATATTGTTATGGAAAACAGCTATAGTTTCCAAAGCAAAATAATTGAGTGAAAATAGTGGCACTTTTTTTTTTTTAACCATTACTGCAAATCCCTTTAAAGTCTGGCTTAATAGAAGACAGCTGGATTCTAACATCTGCTTCTTCATTCTGTCTGTTGTGGTATCTCACATCATGTAGCTTCTGGAAACCTCCATTTATGCTCGTGAGAGGAGAATGGCAATGGCAAATGACATTCTAATATTATTATGAAAATGGTTTTGACCTCATGAGCCCCTGAAAGGGCCTCAGGGACACCCAGGGGTCCCCAGACCACACTCTCATCTTGCCCTAACCCCCTCCTTTCCCTTGCTCCTTGAAAGCAGGTGTCATTACCATTTACAAATGAGGAGACCAGTGCAGGGAGGGGACCTTCCTGAGTTCACACAACTGGAGACTCCCTTTTGCATCCGCAACCCAGCTGTCTGCCTGGTGACTTTGTGGCCCTTCCCTGCCAATGGCTACCCTATTCCAGGTGCTTGGAGCCCCTGGGACTCCAGCAATGCCCAGTGCCTCCCACTCTCTCTCTTTCTCTCTCTCTCTCTCTGTTGCAGGGTCAACTCGGCAGGAAGGGCTTTCCTGGGAGGCCTGGCCCAGACGGCCTGAAGGTGAGGGCACCTGGGAATGCATGTTGGGCTTAGCCTAGAGGAGGCTGGGCTGGGGAGGGGGTGAGACAAAGCCTCAGGAAGGCAAGAGAGGGGAGCAACAATCAGGGCCCCAGGACAAGGCCCAAGTCCCATGGCCAGTTGTGAAAAGGAGGTGGAAAGGGTCCTGATTTGTCACAAAGTGTCTGTAACAGAGAGAAAATGGACGTTTATAACAGAGGGGAAAATGCTCCAACAGTGGGTTGTGGTTCAAGCAATGAGATAGGGTGCAGCCATCAAAAATGGTCCTACAGAATGTGTAGGAGACAGGAAGGAGCAGCGCAGATTATAAGATGGGGAGGAAACGATAAGGAGCCCTGGTGGTGCCGTGGTTAAACGCTTGGTGCTAACCTAAAGGTTGGCGGGTTTGAACTCACTGGCTGCTCTGTGAGAGAAAGATGTGGCAGCCTGTAAAGATGACAGACTTGGAAACGCTACGGGGCAATTCCACTGTGTCCTCTAGGGGTGCTATGAGTCAGAATGAATTTATAGCAACAGGTTTGTTTTTGGTTAAAGGTGAGTGTGCTGCAGGGCTGGGGAGGTGTCATGCCCCTCTGTGCACAGGTCAGAGGCTAGAATTTTGAAGACAGGATTACAGGAGATTTTTATTTTCTTCTCTGGGTCTCTATATTTTCCCCATTATGTACAATATATATGTATTCCCTTTTTAAAATTAGTTCATTGTAGTAAAAAAAAAATAACATATCATTTGACAATTCCTTGTTTTTTATATTTTTATATTGTCAGTGACATTGATACCATTCATCATGTTGTCCAACAATCACCACTATCCATTTCCAAATTATTCCACCAATATGTATTAGTTTTTCTTTCTTCTGGTTTAAGTTATCAAAAGAGAACTGCCCTGGGGTGGGAGAAGAATGGTCCTCACCACCCAGACAGTTAATGGTTTTCCAAAGATTCCCTTGGAGGGGCTGGATATTCCCAGCCTGCCTGGGCAGGGATTGTTGGGCCAAGTTTTCAGATGGGCAAACCCCCAGAGGGTTAGGGCAGAGGCAGGGGAAGCCCAGGTCTCCTGATCCCCTAGCTCAGAGCTCGCTTCCTCGCCCTTCAGGAAAACAGCCTATCTATCAGTCCTGGTCCCTCTGGTTTTTGTGAGTGTGAGCTCTGGGGTGGGGCTTGTGGGCAGGCCGACACTCTGACTGACTGGGATTGCAATGAGCCACATCCATTTTTGAGCCAAAGGGTTGTGGAAAACTCCCGGCCAGTCCGAGCCCATGTCTTGCCCTCTGAGGTCTTGGCCTTGCTTCCCCAGACACCAGCTGGGTTTCTGTGGCAAGGACAGTGACAAGTTCTGGGCGGATTTATCCCATCGCCTTATCCCATGGCCTGCCACCTCTCCGTGTCACTCTGATTTGGTTACACTGGTCCCTGTCCCTCATTTTCAGAGGCTTCAATGACCCAAAGGGGCAGCCTTCTCCCCCTCTGAGCTGCCTCAATACACAGGAGCCACCCTTGCATGGGAGGAACCAATAGACAAGGCCATGATAGGATACTCGGCATGAGAGCGACAGATAGCTGTGAACACAAACAGGCTGCTCTATGTCATAGCTGGGGAAACTAAGCCCACCCAGCTCAGAGACAGACTCATGAAGAGTCTGCCCCAAGAGCTGGTGGCAGAGCTCAGCTGGGTTGGGGTCTTGGACCCCTCATTTCCCTGCTCTTCCTTGCAGTGGACAGCATAGTGCAGTGGGAAAGGAATTTAAATCAGTCAGACCAAGGTTCAAGTTGAGCCCTACCTCTAGTTCACTGTGTGACCTTGGGCAGGCCGCTTTACCTTCCTTGGCCTCAATTTCCATGTCTACTAGATGCAATAGGTTACTAAGGGCCCAGATGATATATAAGCATCAGGGTATTCAGCAATCTGCCAGTGGTCACTCAGAAGGAATGGGTGACTAAGTTCATCCTGGGGCCAGTGGTGCTGTCTGACCAAGTGTCCCTTTGTCCTTGCTGTTTGTTTGGGGTCACCAAGACTAGACTTTGTTCATGAAGTTCTTGGATCATCCTCACCAGTGGGACAAAGACCAATAGCATGTAGAGTTCCCAGGAGGTCTAGACCAAGTGACCCTCCTCCTTGTTTCTTTGCAGGGAGAGCCAGGGAATCCTGGACGGCCCGGGCCTGTGGGCGAGCTGGTAAGTCTCTGAACAATATGACTTCATTTATTGAGCACTTACTGTGTGCCAAGCCCTGTGTTAAGCATTACAGCTGCTCAGGTTGGTCTACTTATTTTTCCTCTTTCATTGATGTGAGCACTGAGTCCCAGAGAGGTGAAGTCACTGAATGAGAAAGCCATTGTCCAAGCCCTAACCGTGCAGATGTTTTTGGTGCATTGACCCAGTGAGGTTACGTGGTTTCGCTCCCAGAGCTTTAAAACTGAAAGAGCCCTGAATGATCTTTGCAAGTGCTCCCCTTGGCGTACAGATGCAGAGCCAAAATTTAGAGAAGTGTAGCCACTTGCTCTTGATCCAGGCATCCTTAAATTACACAGAGAATGAAATTCAAACCAGTGGCTCTGGCCAGTGGGAAGCCGGGCCAAGTCTGAAGAGTAGAAGAGGTTGTAAAAGAGGAGGTTTGAGGTCTCGCTTTTCAGTTATCAAAGTGCCAGGGCCCCGGGTGCTGGACAGAGCCTGAGTGCTGAGGAGACTGCCAGCTTCAGTCCCTTTTCCCAGGCCTCGGTGGCTCCTGAAGTGTGGAAGGTAGCACTCTCTCCCACTCCTTTAATGAAGAATCCCCACTCCCACCCACTCCAGAACCTTGGAGGGACTGTCTCAGGCAGAAAGAAGGATGATGCTGAGGACCCAGAAGAATGTGGCTGAGCTGTGAAGCGCCATCGGTGGCGTGAGAGGCGCACACGATGGGCTTCCTCACCAGGCCTGAAACATCTGTTGGGGGAAGAGAGGAAGTAAGGCAGAAGGAGACTTAGACTTTTGAAATCCTTCCAGTGTCATTCGAGCGCATTCTGTGGGAAGCCCGGGAGTTTGGAAGGGCTGCCACAGCCTGCATATGTTTCCTGATTGGGAAAGAAAAGGCAATATGATCAGAAAATTCAATTTCATAGTTATGCTGGCAGTAGGGCCCTGGGGAAATGGTTGCTCAGAACCCTAGAATGTCAGGCCACAGGGTACCTGTTGTTCAGAGCTGTCAAGTCAGTCCCAACTCAGTGACCCTACGGACAGTGGGAGAGAACGCTGTGCATTACTCTTTGAGCCCACTGTTGCTGCCACTGTGTCAGTCCATCCCATTGAGGGTCTTCCTCTATTTTGCTGACACTGCTTTACCAAGCATGGTGTCCTTCTCAAGGTATTGTCCCTCCTGATAACACGTCCAGAGTAAATGAGACAAGGTCTCACCACCTTTGCTTCTAAGGGGCGTCCTGGCTGGACTTCTTCTAAGACAGATTTGTTTGTTCTTCTGAGAGTCCATGGTATATTCAATATGCTTTGCCAAAGAGTCACTGAGAATTTCTTTATCCAGAGGCTTCTACTTCTTTTTGTGCTTTGGACCCCTTTGAAGTCCACAGATGCCTTTTCATAATAGAGTTTTTAAATGCCTAAGATAAAAAGCAAGAGATTACCAAGGGTAGCAATTACACTGAAATATAATTATGAAACGATGTCAAAATGTTATATACTCATATGTATGCTTCTTTACTAATACCTTAATCAATGAGATCCACTCATCTGTCAATTGATCGTACTGTGCTGGATTGTGCGTTGCTGGGATGCTGGAAGCTATACCACCAATATTTCAGATACTAGCAAGGTCACCCATGGTGGGCAGATTCCAGCGGAGTTTCCAGACTTAAGAAATACTGGGAAGAAGGACCTGGTGATCTATTTCCGAAAAAATGAGGCAGGAAAAACTTCATGGATAAGAGCAGAACATTGTTTGGCATCGTGCCAGAAGATGAGTCCCTTAAATTGGAAGACACTCAAATTCGACTAGGCAAGAGCTGCCTCTTCAAAGTGGAGTTGACCTTAATGATGTGGATGGAGTAAAGCTTTCAGAACCTTTGTTTGCTGATGTGGCATGACTCAAAATGAGAAGAAATAACTACAAACATCCATTAATAATTAGAACATGGAGGAACACGGAGTGTACTAAGTATAAATCTAGGAAAATTGGAAGTTATCAAAAATGAAATGGAATGCTTACACATCCGTATCCTAGGCGTTAGTGAACTAAAGTGGTCTGGTATTGGCCATTTTGAATCAGATAGTTATATGGCGTACTACACTGGGAATGACAAATTGAAGAGGAACGGCAGCGCATTCTTGTCAAAAAGAACATTTTAAGATTTATCCTGAAATCCATCAATGTCAGTGATGGGATAACATCCATACATTTACAAGGCAGATGAGTTAATAGGACTATCACTCAAATTTATGCACCGACTACTAATGCCAAAGATGAAGTAATTGAAGATTTTCACTAGCTTCTGCAGTCTGAAATTGATCAAACATGCACTCAAGATGTATTGATAATTACTGGTGATTGGAATGCAAATGTTGGATATGCAGAAAAAGGATCAGTAGTTGGAAAACATGGCTTTGATGATAGAAATGATGCTGGAGATTGCATGGTAGAATTTTGCAAGACCAATGACTTATTTTCTGCAGATGCCTTTTATCAATAACATAAACAGTGACTGTACACATAGACCTCACCAGATGGAATACATAAGAATCAAATCCAGTACATCTGGAAGGAGATGATGGAGAAGCTCACTATCATCAGTCAGAACAAGGCCAGGGACCAACTGCGGAACAGACTATCCGTTGTTCATAGGCAAGTTCAAGTTGAAGGTGAAGAAAATTAAAACAAGTCCTCAAAGTACAACCTTGAATATATCCCACCTGAATTTAGAGACCATCTCAAGAGTAGATTTGATGCATTGAACACTAATGACCAAAGACCAGACAAACTGTGGGATGACATCAAGGACATCATATATGAAGAAAGAAAAAGGTCATTAAAAAGATAGGAAAGGAAGAAAAGACCAAAATAGATGTCAGAAGAGACTCTGAAATTTGTTCTTGAATTTGGAATAGCTAAAGTGAACAGAGATGTGATGATATAAAAGAGCTGAACAGAAGATTTCAAAGAGTGGCTCAAGAATATAAAGTAAAATATTAAAATGTAATGTTCAAAGACCTGGAGTTAGAACAGCAAAAGGGAAGAACATGCTTGGCATTTCTCAAGCTGAAAAAACTGAAGACAAAATTCGAGTTGTAACACTGATGGATTTTATGGGCAAAAAATTGAACAACAAAGGAAGCATCAAAAGAAGATGGAAAGAATACACAGAGTCACTGTACCAAAAAAGAACTGGTCAATGTTCAGCCAATTCAGGAGGCAGCATATGGTCAAGAAACGATAGTACTGAAGGAAGAAGTCTGAACTACACTGAAGACGTTGTTAAAAAACAAACCCAAACCAAATCCACTGCCAAAGGCTCCAGGAATTGATGAAATGCCCATTGAGATGTTTCAATAAACAGATGCAATGCTGGAAGCACTCATTCATTTATACCAAGATATCTGGAAGACAGCTACCTGGCCAACCGACTGGAAGAGATCCATGTTTGTGCCCATTCCAAAGAAAGGTGATCCCACAGAATGCAGAAATTATCAAACAATATCATTAATATCACATCCAAGTAAAGTTTTGCTGAAGATAGTTAAAAAATGGTGGCAGCAGTATGTTGACAGAGAATTGCCAGAAATTCAAGCTGGATTCAAAACAGTACATGGAATGAGGGATATCATTGCTGATGTCAGATAAATCTTGGCTGAGAGCAAATACCAGAAAGATGTTTACCCATGTTTTGTTGACTATGCAAGGCATTTGACTATGCGGATCACAATAAATTATGGATAACATTTGGAAGAATGGGAATTCCAGAACACTTAATTGTGCTCATGTGGAACCAGTACCTAGACCAAGAGGCAGTTTGAATAGAATAAGGGGATATTGCATGGTTTAAAATCACGAAAGGTGAGTGTCAGGGTTGTATCCTTTCACCACACTTATTCAATCTGTATGCTGAGCACGTAATCCATGCAGCTGGACTATATAAAGAAGAACATCAGGATTGGAGGAAGATTTATTAAGAACTTGATATGCAGATGACACAACCTTGCTTGCTGAAAGTGAAGATGACTTGAAGCACTTACTTACAAAGATCAAAGACTCCAGCTTTCAGTATGTATTACATCTCAACATGATGCAAAACTCCTCGTAACTGGACCAATAAGCAACATCATGATAAATGGAGAAAACATCGAAGTTGTTAAGGATTTATTTTATTTGGATCTACAATCAATGCCCATGGAAGCAGCAGTCAAGAAATCAAATGATGCATTGGGCAAATCTGTTGCAAAAGACTTCTTTGAGGTATTAAAAAGCAAAGATGTCACATTGGAAACTAGGATGCCCCTGACACAAGTCATGGTATTGTCAATCATGTCATGGGCTTGCAAAAGCTGGACATTAAATAAGGAAGACCAAAGAAAATTTGATGCATTTGAAATATGGTGTTGGGAAAGAATATTGAATGTGCCATGGACTGTCAAAGAACAAACAAATCTGTCTTAGAAGAAATATAGCCAGAGTGCTCCTTAGAAGCTGAGATGGAGATACTGAGTCTCATGTACTTTGGACATGTTATCAGGAGGGGACTATTCCCTGGAGAAGGACATAGTGGTAAAGTAGAGGATCAGCGAAAAAGGGGACAACTCTCAATGAGATGGACTGACACAGTGGCTGCAGTGACAGTCTGGAGCATAGCAATGATTGTGAGCCTGGTGCGGGCCTGGGCAGAGTGTCATTCTTTTGTTCATAGGGTCACTGTGAGTCGGAACCAACTTGACAGCACCTAACAACATTCAGTGGGTCTAGTAACTAATTTTGAGGAGATGGCAAGTCTTAATGATAACTCTGCAACAACGATTGGAGTGTGATATATAAAATATCTGTGACAAAGTCACAATACTGATTATATCACTGTGATTTGTTGCCTCAACTCATATTTGAAGAAAACACTAAATTTCAATTACAGGTTCATGAAATTTAAAGTTGTCATTTTCCCATTCAAGTTCACAGACCCCTTATTCCATCCCTGGAGACTTCCATGGGCCCCAGGGAACAACTCCTAGCTAGGTTCTAGTCCACATTGGCCATCTGAGGTTCATGGAGAGCAATCTTGATTAGATGAGTGGGCTGGGCTGTGGGGGAGCTGAAACCAGGAAGGTCAGCCCCCCACTTGTCACCAGAGCTCCCAGCCACCTTGGACCATAGTAAGAAAGAGAGACCTGTGTGAGTTGTGAGACAGAACTGGAGCCCTGTGACTGCTGCAAGGCCTGTTGGCTCACCACGCCAGCAGTTCTCACGGCCCCCTCTCCGTGTGGTCGTGAGGAAGAGGCAGCCACTTCCTGTTCATGTCAGAATCATGACAGAGGAGGGAGCCCTAGGAAAGAGTTGCAAAGCTCATGTCACAGGACCTGCTTATCATAGTAACAGCTATGTTTATTGGGCACCTGTTAGATACCAGGCTCTGTGCCAACATCTTATACACTTTCACCTGCAATTCCCCCCAACAACCCTACGGCCGTAGGTATTATTATCCCCTTTTGCAAATGAGGAAACTGAGGCTCTGAGCAGTTAAGTAAGCTACTGGGTAGCTGTCAGAGCTAAGAATGACACTTAGGTCTCAGGATTCCCAAGCCCACGCTATCCACCTACCCAGGAGGGGCTAGAAACTTGACTTCTTCAAACCTTTGCATCTGTCCAGCTCGTGGGAGAGCAGGCTGCTTGCTAGGCCCTGTCCTAGGTGCTGGGGATGCAGGTTGGTTACAAGTCATGCGCCTTCATGAAGCTCTGTCCAGCAGGGAAGCCAGGCATACAGACACTTAAACCTGAGAAGTCTTGTCCCCGTGAGGGTCCATGATCATCTTGTTCTCAGTTGCACCTCAGTGCCTAGCAGAATGGTCTGTGCAAGAAAGAAGGGAGAGAGAGAGAGAGGCTCTCATAGCAAACAGTGGCCCTGGAACGAGGTCACTGTGCAGACCAGGCCAGTCTCTTCTAAATCAGATCCTTCCTGTGCAGTGCCTGCTGCAGGTGGCCTGCTGCCTCCTCCCCTATGCCCCCTTGCCAGCCCCAAAGGAGCCAACTGTGCCCATAGTGGCTTTCAGAGCCACTTCTCCTCCCACCTTGCCAGGTGGAAGCCCTGGCCCTCAGCCTCGGCTCCGCCCACAGGAGGCCTGCCAGGATGTTCTGGGACAGTGCCCCAAGGGGGTCCCAGTGTGAGGGGCGGGGAACCGGGCACTCGCTGTATGGCCCTTATTCATTAGGGTCCTGTTTGGCTTCTTGTTTGAGGTTTATGACCTGCCTGCCTTCCAGTACCCAACAACTCATAAATTGGAAGTAGCTATGAAATTTTTGTTTCTCCGGGCCAGTCAGGCAGAGGCCTCCTAACAGAGTGATTCTTATTCCCTTCATTTGGTGTCCTCTAAATGTGCTACTGCTCTTTGTGAGCTCAGCCCTCTGTCTTAACCCTGTGCCCTTTTAAAATAAATGTAGGGTGGGATGGGAGGGAGCTAACACTTAGGGAGTGCCTACATGTGCCACGTGTTACCTAGAATCTTCCAAACAAGCCCTGGAGGTAGGGACTTTGATCTTCCCCATTCTGCAGATAACATTCAGAGAGGCTCTGAGAGTTTGCATGACAACAGCACAGATAAAGTGCCAGACAAAGGACTTGGCACACAGTAAACCCAAAACCAAACACCCTGCCATCGAGTTGATTCTAACTCATAGCGACCCCCATAGTGTTTCCAAGGCTGTACATTTTTATGGAAGCAGACTGCCTCATCTTTGTTCTGCAGAATAGTTGGCAGTTCAAACCACTGACCTTTTGGTTAGCAGCCAAATGTCTTACCCACTGTACCACCAAGGCTCCTTTGACACATAGTAAGTGCTCAGTAAATCTTAGCCATGATTCTTAACATTGCAATCATCTTTAAAATGTTCCTATTTATTATTGTAAGATAACTTAGTTATTCTCTGTCACATAGGAGCCATGACTTCATACCCTGTACCATACCCTTCACTCATATACTTCACCCCTGAAGGGTCTCCAGGCCTAGGGAGGCAGGTTCAGGCAGAGGATCCCCCATGTGTGGCGGTGGTGCCAGGTGCTAGGGAGATCTGTGCCCTGTACACAGCCACACACTCTGGAGGCGTCTGGGTGGAGGGGAAGGTGCACAGAGCAGAGTTGACGTCCCAGGCTGCAGCCCAGGCACACACAGTTCTGGCCTAAAGGACCATTTAAAAACTGTCTCTTGGATTACAAAATATCAGTCCCTTTGGAATTGATTGGCATCTCCTCACCCTGAGTTGACTGGCAGGTGGGCCGGCATGACCTCCTGAGTCCATAACTTCGGGCTTATTTCCTTCCATGCAGACCCACTGCCCTGCTCTTCTCTGGCCAGATTTTAGGCACTGGAGGTAGATTTTGCAGGAAAGTTCTACTCATCCCTCACCAAAACAAACCAAACCAAACTCACTGCTGTCGAGTCGGATCCGACTCATAGCGACCCCTCCTTGGGTTTCCAAGGCGGTATCACTACAGAAGTAGATTGCCCAACCTTCCTTCTGAGGAGTGGCTGGTGGGTTTGAACCACCAGTCTTTTGGCTAGCAATCAGATGCCTTAGGCACTGTGCCACCAGAGCTCCTACTCATCCCTCAGTCTTTCTTAATTCTCCTAGAAATTCTTGGCTGCAAATCTGGCTTCTGCCCAAGCCCCTGCTACCCCTGAACTACACGGGAACTCCTCCGATGGGGTTCTCCTTCATAGGGATGAGATTAGGGCCTGAATAAGAAACTGGGAGCCGTGACTTCTGGGCCTGCTGTCCTCGGTGACTGCTCTGGCCGTTTCACCCTTGCTGTCTCTGTGTGTGTTTGCCTGCTCAGAAGGACACAGCAAGGCCTGCAGCCACCTGGGAGAGACCCTGGAACACAGAGGCAACTTAACACCCACTGGAGTTAAAAAGAGCCACAGGAACCACATTGCGTGTGCATGAGTGTGCATGTGTGTGTGTGTGTGGTGCGTGTGTGTGTCCTTTCAGAGACAAGAGAGGAAGCGTTTCAGAAGACAGAAAAAGGCCTCCGCTTCCCAGATTTCAATCGGGCCTCTTGGCGGAAGCTCTTAGGCTGTTTATTCCAGCCAGCGGGTTTGTTTCTGTCTTTGAAACAGCCCCAAGGCCCCAAAAGATGGGGACAGATTTCTCACAGGCAGGCTTCTTCCCAGCACAGCTTAGAGGCTGTCCTCCCACCCCTACCCTCTCTAGAAGTGGCCGCCTCCCAGCCTGCTCCTGGCACAGTAAGAATGTGTGGCGCTCCCAGGGATGCTGGCAGTGGCCCCACCACTTGGCTCCACAATCAGAACCATCTGGTGGAGTGAGGGAAGTGAGCACAGTGCCCAGAGAGAGGCAAGCTCTCTACAGTGGTAGCCCCACGCCGGCCGGATTACGGGGCATGGGGCTCGGGGCACTAGGGACATCAAGACTCAGAGGAAGAAAAATGCAAGCAAGTTGCCTTAGAGCTCGGTGCATCCCTGAACTCATGCTGTTTTCCCCTTACTCTTGCCTCCACAAATGTTCCTCACAGGGACTGCTGGGGTTCATTGGTCTGGTCGGGGAGCCAGGAATTGTGGGAGAAAAGGTAAGTCATACTGAGGGGAACAAATAAAGAAACAGAGCTTGTGTTTGCAGATGTTTAAAAGGTGAAGGGGGCAGTTGACTTGGGGGTGTTAGAGGAGTCCCCCCTGGCCTCTCTCCCCACTGCCTGGACGTTCCATACTTTCCAAGACCAAACTCCCCTTTCCCAGCATCCCTTGGGACTCCTGCCTTGCCCTCCTGTCTCCTCCCTCAGGCACTATTAGACTTTTATTTGACAACAGCTAATGCCAGGCTCCTTACAGCCACCCACTGGTACTCAGAGGTGGGCAGCAGGAGGGAGATACGGCTTCATCTTTTTAAGGAAAACACATCCTGAGGTTGTCTGGTTAATCTCCCCAACAGCTCCATTTTACAGATGAGAAAACGGAGGCACAGGTAGAGGAGTTAACTAGCTGCAGGTCACCCAGATAGTAAGTGGCAGATCTGAGATTTGAACCAGGTTCAATACCCAAGGCTACACTTTGCCCACTAAGCCACTCTGCTTCACATTGTTTGCAGCTCCAAGGCAGCCTGTGGCTTCCCAGCCGCCATGATGGGTACGATGGTAACGCTTTACTTTGTGTGGGCTCTTCCAGTTCCCAGAGCAGGGCCTCTAGGAGAGCCAATATTATTGCCCTTGGACAGATGGAGAAGCAGTCCAGAGAGAGGAGGCATCCACCCAAGTCTGGCTCCTCCTCCCTTTACAAGCTAGTCTTGTGCCTCAGTCCTCACTCCCTAAATCCCACACCTGATGGTCTTCTTCTGTATTTAACTTTTTATTTTGAAATAATTACAGCTTCACAGGAAGTTGCAAAAACTAGTGCAGAGAGATCTCATGTACTCTTCAACCAGTTTCCCCTGATGACAGATAGCCTCTTACATAACTATAGTTTACTGTGGAAATCAACATTGTCCCTACTGTTCCTTTGGCCAGATACATTCTTCCCACCCACCCATCCATCCCCCTTTTGGCCTAGATAACTCTTAATTGTCCTTCAGCTCAGTTCAAGCAACACTTCCTGAGGGAATCCTTCCCTGACCACCCCTGCGCCCAGGTGGGTCAATTCCCCTATCATCATGCCTCACTGCCCTTGCCCTTGGTGGTCCTTTGCATCTGTTTTGGTGGTTCCTATCTGTCTCACACTATGCTTTGTCCTCTCCATAGGAGGATGGTCTGTCTCTTTCTGTTCACCATTTTATCTTCAGGGTCTGGCATATAGTAGATGCTCAATAAACGTTTGCTGAATGTGCAGACACACACACACACAAAAACAGGGCGTCCCCAAAACAGAGCTAGGATTGGAAGCCAGAGTGCCTGTCTCCCAGCCGTAGCTCTTTCTGCTACACCTGCCATCTCTGTCCCATCCAACGGGATCAAGAGGGACTGATTCTTGTCCCCAGTTCTCCAGCGTCTCCTTGAGGTTTGGGCAGGGGGTGAGGCAGGCGAGGAAATGCCTTTAGTTGCCAGGTCCACTTTAGCCAGGCCAGCCCAGGGAATGCCAGTCCTAATGAGGACCACATGGTATGGGCCAGGATCAAAGGGGACCATGTAATTAGTGTATCCTTAATCAGGACTATCCTTGCCTCAGGGAGACCTACTGTGTGGCACACTGCCATGGGTGTGGAGGCCTCTCAGGACTTGTTTGAGGTCTTGGCTGGTGCTGAGTAAAATCCTAGATGCTCACTCCTCCTGCCCTGGGTGACCTTGGGCAAATCCCTGCCCCTCTTGGGGCTCTGGAAGGCCCCTCTGCACCCATCCCCCAGAGAGCCATCCTACAGCTATGACTTCCCTGAATTGCTGTCTCCATCACAGGGTGACCGGGGCATGACGGGACCCCCAGGTGCTCCTGGACCCAAGGGGTCGATGGTAAGGAGTAAGTCTGCATCCTCTTGCCCTCTCCTGCTGCAGCCGTACGGTGCTAGCTCGCTCCCCATCACCTGCCTCCTCACGCCCCAGACATTTAGGACGATGCTCTCCTTCTCCCTTTTGGGGCCTGCCTGCTGCCCTCGTGGACTGAAGGAGGAAGGGGCATCTTGAACAACTGACCCCTCCTTTTCCTTCTTTTTCTTGGTAGGGTCACCCTGGAATGCCAGGTGTTGTTGGGACCCCTGGAGAGCCTGGACCCCTGGTAAGCAATATTCCTTGTCCTAGTTACCTCATGCTGCTTTAACAGAAATATCCCAAGGGGGTGGCTCTGAAGAGCAGAAATTGATTTTCTCAGAGTTCTAGAGGCTAGAAGCCCAAATTAGGGTCTTGGCCTTGTCAATTTCTTCCTTGTGGGTACCCTTGGGGGTTCCTTGGTGGTCCTCGTGTGGTGTCTGTCTCCCTGACATGCGTGTGTCTCTGTTCTTTTTATAGCTCAGAAGTGATTAGATTTAGAATTTGCCCTATTGAGTGTGGTCTAATTAGCCAACAAAGAAACCCTTATTTGCAAATAGGATTCCATGCACAGGTACAGGGGTTATGATCCAACACATATTTTTTTGGGAGGACAGAATGCAATCTGTAACACCCTTGTGGTCCTTGAGCTCAAATCCACTGCTGCATCAGGGTTGGGAGTCCAGGCCTCAGAGTCAGACTTGAGTTTGAATCCTGGGTCCTGCACTCCCTGGCTGTATCATCCAGGGCAGGTCATGTAACTTCTCTGAGCCTGAAACTTGCTCACCTAGAAAATTATGATAGTGTGATCATGTGGGTTCAATGGAACAGTGCAGCTAATATTCCTTTCACATAGCAATGCTCGTTACCCAGGAGCATCTTGGTCATAAGCACCATTATTGCTTTTGTTCATTCATTCATTCATTTACTCAGTGAACACTAACCGTCTAGCATGTGGCTGGGGCAGCTCTAGATGTTGATGATGCAGCAGTGACCAACATAGGAGACATTTCCTGAACTTTGTGTTCCTGGCACGATTGGGGAGGGGGGCGCAAGGGAACCCAATAAATGAGAAACATGTGCTATGAGAAGACCAGGGAAGAAGGTGGGAAGTGCCGGGGACAATGGCCTGAGGGTCAGAGCCAAGGGACAGTGGGGGTCTTGGGCTTCAGGTGATGATGAAGGAGATAAGGATCTTCCTGTGGATCTCAAGGCAGAGTGCCAGGTGAAGCTAGAGAAGGGAGGAGGTGTAGCCAGGAGCACCGGGATTCTGGGGCACCTTCATTTCCCTCAAGGGTAACAGTGTGACGTGGAGGGTGGAGAGGAGTTGCTGTCATTTGTGCTCCTGCTGGTAGAGGATGAGGTCTGGGGAAGGGCACTCACTTGGTCCAAGAAAGAGGAGGAAATGGAGGGCTGGGCTTCAGAGAGTAGAAAGGGTGTGTGTGGGCAGGGACCAGCAGGGAAGACAGAGGTCTGGGGCAGCTTCAGGGGATGATGAGAGTTCAGGTTATCCAGGTCCCCTTCAAAGGCCAGACTGAGGAGCTCACTGGGGTCTGATGGAGGGAACAGGAGTTACTAGTGATGGTTAGAACCTGGGAAGTTCACAGAGACCAATTCTTTGTACCAGTTGGGGAAGCCAGGCCAGCTCAGAACCGCACATTTTCCTGCACACCTACTGTGTGCTGGGCATATGTCTGGTTCTTGGAGTGCAGAAATGAGAGGAAATAGATCTTTCTCTTAAGAGTCTCACTGTGGAGTGAGGGAGTCAGATAGAAGTACTCTGTCACCCATTAGCAGATGTTTATTGAGTAGCTACTGTGTCCCAGGCAGTAATAGATGCTGAAGAGAGATGTGGAGGAGACAAGAGCAGGGACGAGGAGTGGGGACACTAGTAACCACCATCCAGAGAAGGAGGTGCTCAGCACCAGGAGGACTGTCAGTACCCCACGATGTGGACAGCCTGTCCACCCCCACAAAGTTGAGGTAGAACGTTTTTATCGGCCAGAGTTTAGATCAGAAGCCAGCACTCTGAGCTCCCAATGACAAGTTTCCTCTCCTGTTCATGAAGAGAGGGAGAAGCTACATCTGGTCTGGAACTGCAGGGGCTAGAGACTTGGATGTGGGACTGCTGGGGACAGAAAGTAGGACCAACATTCTGGTGGGTGGGGCTTACATGGTGAACCAGACTCCCAGCCCATCCCGCCAAAAGGTGCTGTCCAGCACCCCCCCAGTGTCCCCAGGAACCTAGGCACCAGGGCCCAGCACGTGCTTCTGGAGCTGAATGGCCAAAGTCCAGCAGGGTGGGTGGTGCCAGAGTGCAGTCTGGGGACAAGGATGCTTGGAGTCCACTATCTCATTCTAGCCCCTGGGCCCAGGTGCTCAGTTTCCCTAGGTTCAGTCTCTCCATGTGTCCAGTGGGAGGAGGAAGGACAGGAAGAGTCATAGGAACACAGTGGAAGGCTAGTGGGAGATGTGGAAACTGTAATGGTAATGTCCTCTCCAGCACTAGAAGGAAGGTGCCGTCCTATGAAGCCTTCCCTAGGAAAGCCCTGTTACAGCCCTGCGGACAGCCCCCTGCCCAATTCCTCAGTCATATGACATGTTGTTGTTGTTGTTGTTGTTATGTGCCGTCGAGTCGGCCCCGACTCATAGCGACCCCTCCTTGGGTTTCCGAGGCAGTATCACTACGGAAGTAGGATTGCCCAACCTTCATATGACATTGCAGCTAAATACAGGCTTCGGTGTCTGATAGGCCTGTGCCAGGCTGAGACAATTCTCAGAACTTCCTCTCTGGCTCTCACTGTCTTAACTCAAGAAAGAACCTTCTCAGAGGACCTCAGTGCTTCCATCTGTTCAGTGGGTGAACGCTAGGACTTGGTGAGATCAGTCACTTGCTGCTTTCAGATCCCAAGATTGCAGTTGAACACCCTCATCGTTGACTGTTGGTCAATGGGGTTGATCCCTTGGACCTCTTAGGGTTCCTTCTGGTGAGCCAGCTGCTCCTAGTGCCCCGACAGAACAGAACAGCACAGAGGTCCAGAAAACCAACTTCAAAATCGGACATGTGTGAGTTCAAATCCTGAGTCCCCCACTTACTAGCCGTGTGATTGTTGGCAACATGGATAGCTTCTCTGAGCCTCAGTTTCCAGCGTCATTCTATCTTCGTTATGAGGTTTTTCTGAGAGAGAAATTATACAGGGCAAACTACCTGCATATGCTCAATGTTTAATGGTTGGTAGTCATTCCTGTTATTATTTGTTAGATATGACAATTGCCACTATGACCTGAAGGTCTATTAAAGTGGCTTCTCTGATACTTTTTACATCTGGTTGACATTTTCCCACTTTCCCACTCACAGTAACTCCCATGTTCTTCCACAGTCTGTTGAGCTCAGCCAGGACCGTTCTCCCATTATTTGGGGAAGGGGGGAGACTGAAGCTCTGGGATGTCCCCAGGGCACCCAGTGACCAGAGCTGGGTCTGTCATCCAGGTGTCCGGCCTCCTTCCCCCTTTTTTTTTTTAAATTTTATTTTTATTTGGGTGAAGATTTACAGAGTAAATTCACTTTCCATACAGCAGTTCACATATACTTTGTCTCATGTCATTGACCAAAATTTACA